TCAAGATGAAAAACATCAAAGGTATTACCTTTTATGAATATTTATCAAAAATCGTATCTCTTATTTTGGTCGAGATTACAATATATTTCAAGCTTATTAAACTCGAAGGGAGGAGGGGTACTTCCATGTGTTTCTTTGTTAAATGAGAGGAAACATACTCGAAATAGACTGAAGACCTGTTCTGTACCGCACGTGCTGCCGTGCTGCATGGCGGGCGACCGGGTTCTCAGGCGCCAGTTTCTTGCAGGCGAGCACGCCTTGCAAAAGAATGGTGTAAAATCTTAGTTTTCGAATAAGTGATGCATAATACAATTCACTCTTTTGAATGTTACAAAAGTACTTCATAGTTCTTTTGTCAAATATGAAATATTAGATTTATTCAGGGTTGGGAAAGTTACTTCGTAAAAGTAATTAGTTACAGTTACAGTTACTTAAAAAATAATGAGTCGTTACTTTTCAATTACTTTTCCATAATAAATGTGCTATTATTTTAAATTTCGTAATTGTGTAAATTTCAAATTAATTTAAATTATACCTTAGTTAATTATACTTTATTATGAATATAAAATGTTATACATTACAATGTTACTTTATTATAAATATATTGAATAATGAATAAACATACTGAATATATACATGGGACGTTCCGCGTCAACCGGATCACCAGCGGCCTAAAAAATTGACGCATCGGATTGGGACGTGTGAGGGCTTGAATTGTTTGTCTACTCGAATACTTTCAGAAGCAACATGGTCTTTCCGGAAATTCAAAATGGTGGCTTCCAGGTGGCACTAAATATACCGAAAGACGCACGAGAACCATAATATATTTTCAATCAAATCACGAGAAACTCCGAATTTGTAACAGAAAATACGATAACTCATATATTTTGATCCGTTAAATCTGAATCTAAGACCAGAATTGCCCTTAAACGTCGCAATTCTTACCTAATCCCCAAAAACGGCTCAAAAACCTCTAAAACCTCTAAAAACAATCAAAAGCGGGTATCCTGATACTGTGTTTTGGATATAGAGCCATTCAAAATAGGTTCTAATACTAGTACCTGGTTCATCGAGTCTAAATTATATACTACGATCACCCTGGAACGTCACAGTTGCTCCCAAACCACAAAAAGGACCTCAAAAATCCTTAAAAACGATCTGAAAGTAAGACTGTGATGCTGTCTAACAGAGACTGTTGAAAGAACTTAATGACTGCAAAGATGATCAGAAGTTTGCGATCGTACGCGCTGTAACGCGCTCCGTATTGTTGAGTTTGTGTGAAAAGAACTATATGGGCTACCACACCCCATCTTCAAGCTGTTCAAGAGCAGCGCCTATGGCTGAGCCTGAAGTATCGGTGATGAGTACAAGCGGGGTTGCATGAGCCAAGAAAGCTGGTTTGACGGCTGAGGCAATATTCTTCTTGGAAGACTCGAACCAGAAAGAAACCTGAAAGCGACCAACACGGCATTTTTGGCGACACCGATTTTTCGTACTGGGAATGGGCGCCATCTGCATTCATTTTGAGAGGGGAACTACGATGCTACATCCACTTTTAGGTCTCGGCGGTAAAACCTGCATCTGGTGGCTGTCCGTGCTACATTCACTTTCAGGCGGTTTATGTCCGTGCTACAACTATAATAGCGTATTTGATAAGCACGGTCTCGCGCATTGTTATGGGTTTGTAACATGAATTAACATGTTAACATGCGCAAAGAAAATAAGAATTGAGATTGTGTACGATTAATATCATGAAAATTATATACGATTTATATCGATATATAAATATATGATAATAAGATGATATTTTGTACCCAAAATTATTTTCTCAAAATATTTCAGCGTTACGTTAGTATTTATTTATACTCCGGCAAGTGTTTTCTAGCGCAATTGTGTCCGTGTGCGTTTAAGGTGTGTGTGACGTACGTATGCGTACGCACTCACACATACACATACACAGACACGTGTTATACGCAACAGAGAGAATTTCAGGGCATATGCTTAAATATTTTTCAATCGCCGTACGTTCTATATAAGAATGAGTCGGCACACACACACACACACACACGCACACGCACACGCACACATGCACAGAAACTGCTCCCGTCTACCCGTCTAAGGCCTTGCCCACCGCTCAACTTGTTTCGACAAGTCAAGCGAGAGAGAGAGAGAGAGGAGAGAGAGAGAGAGAGAGAGAGGAGAGAGAGAGAGAGAGGGGGGGAGCCAAGGAGGGAGGGAGGGAGGGACAGAGAGGGGAGAGAGGGAATGTGTTCGCTTCATAGACATAGTACATCTAGACTGCGTATTCTCCCAAGTTTCAAGAGTGGGAGTATGACTCTCGTAGAAAAGGAAGCACTCTGTTTTTACTGTTCGTTCTCTCTCGCACAGTCCCGATGAAAGGGGTATAGGGGAGGCAATTGCTGTATAGTAACCACCGTCAATCATCAGCTTATAGTGGCCCAGGAAGTCTGTTCTCAATAGTCGGCGGTCCGGACATCTGCGATGACAAAAGTCCAGCTGAATGCTCTGCGCAGGCCGAGGTTGAGTGTGAGAGCGTGTTGACCATAAGTGGCGATGGTTGAAAGGTTGACAGCATAAAGCGTTAGCTCCTGTACGGAGAGCTTCTTACGCATAGTTGACTTGGGCAGCAACGAGACGATCGAGCCAGAGTCCACCAGGAACTTGAGCTGCGTTTTGCGGTCGTAAACATGCAGGCGGTTTTCTGAAGGTGTAGTGCCGGCGTGGGTGGCTTGCATGGACGCCGGCGAAGTTAGTTTTCCGAGCCTGGTGTACTGCAGAAGGTGCACGGTTTGAGGCACCTCTGTACCTAGTTGCCCCAACGTCAATAGTAGTGGCAGGCATCTCCTTGCGCTGAGGGCGAGCGCGCGCGGTGACGTGAGCCGCTTCGAGTACGCTCTTGCTGAGGCTGCTGCTGGTGTAGATTGTCCAGGATCTCCCTGTTTAGAGAGATGAGCTGTGCCATAGTGATGCGCAGCGAGGCCGGTTCCGCCGCGAGGCGATCCTCTTTGCTAGCGGACTTCTGGAACGGCTCGTGGAAGCCATTGATGGTACGGTACGGACTTAATGAGCTCGTCCGCAGCAACTGCGAGTTCCTCAAGGCTGGGAGCCTTGAAAATCCTGAGGAAGCGCTGTGCGTTTGCCGTGAGTAGATCGAGTCATTGACCCTGAACACGTCGTCTGGCACTCGATCTCCGGCCAGGGCACGCATGTGGCGAAGAAGCTGCGACGGCCTTTTGTCGCCGAGTTTGAGCTGTGTGAAGAACTTCAGGAGCTGGCGGCAGAGTCGGTGAGACGAGCCAGGATAGTGTCCTTAAGGCGCGCATATTTGGCCTCACTCGGCGGCACCCGGATGACGTCCTCGACCTCCTGGAGGGACTCAAGGTCGAGCATGGCGACGACCATGTTACACCTCGTGTCATCCCTGCGAACATGGTGCAGGTGGAAGGCAGCTTTGACCTGCACGAACCAGAGTTCTGGCTTTGCGCGCCAGAAAGGAGGAAGTCACCTGCACGAACCAGAGTTCTGGCTTTGCGCGCCAGAAAGGAGGGAGTCACAATTGCTGACTGCCTTGACGGCGGTTGCTGGTGTTGTCTGCGGAGGAGTCATCGGAGGTGGCCTCTGATGCTATTTGCCGGTGATCGACTGGGCGTAGCCTTGCAGCTCATGCTGCGACGATTTCAAGGTCAGAGTACTGGCCGACGAATCTTTGAGCCCTCGCGGTGGTGAGCGGCGCATCGGGTACCAAGGAAACACCGAGGAGATGAAGAAGCCGCACTGACACGCACTTGATGCACGCACTCCAAAAGAAAACTGCCCAATACCAGCCGATACCCAGTGAGAAATGATTCGTCGAACGACGTCGAAACGAGGTCGAATCGACGTCGATTTGAAGATTCGATATCGATTCGACATCGTTTCGACATCGATTAACGAATCATTTCTCACTGGGTACCGCGTATCACGTCGGGGTCACAACTGAAGGGAGCATCTGGGTGGCCCGCCTTTTAGAACTCAGAAGGAAGGCGAAGCGGTAGGACAGGAAAGAAAGGTGCACAGATTTTACGACACTATTAGATAATGTTCGCTTTATTGCACACGGTACACAATGTCGCGGCGAGGTTAGGCTCGACTCGATAAGTCAGGATCTGAGGATCTGATCGTCAATTGTTTTTCGATTGTTTTGGCGCGACGCGGACTAGGAAGGAACAGTGGCGCGGTTACGTGGTGCTGTTTAGAACAGCGGCCGCGGTTGCTGAAGCTGCTTGCGTCTGCCGCTAGATGGCGCGGTAGCACAGGGCTTGTGCTGAGGCGCCACACATTCATTTTCTCTTGATGTATGCGTGACGTCATGGCCGCCATCTTGCCCAAAGAAGCGATAAAAAAATTCTGCTGAAAGGAGTATCGATAATAAAAAATATTGTACCAATGAATATTTGACTTTGCTTGAAGTTTTTGCAATTTGCAATAACGGCTCCAAAAATGAATTGAACAATGCTATGGTGATTATGCCTAACGTCGTTGCGTGAAAGTAAGTGTATTTATCGATATACCTTTGAAACACGTCCCTCTCACTTGGCTTTGCGCACCAATAATAATCTTCCATCTGCGCAATCACGGTCTGAAAAACCATCCATTTGATCTCGAAATCATACCAATTATCTAAATCGATCTATCATTTGAACGTCAACGTCGTCAAATGAAAACATTATTTTTGGCATCATTTCTTTTCTAATGTCATTATTCAATTTTCTTATTACATCATATTAAGAGAAAATATTATTCCAATTTTTTATAAGATATCATTTTTACCAAAAAATACCGCAAGAATACGTCATTTATCCTTTTATTACATAACGAATTCTTGGCACTTCGCATAAGAAGACGTGTCGTCTTCGACAAAAGCGTATTATAATGATTAATATGATAATAATTAAAATATTAATAACCACACAAAAATTATACAGCACTTGATGGACGATTTTTCACGATTTCTTACTTGCAAACGATCATGCTGTAGAGTAAACAGCAAGATTTGCAGTGGCACTTCGAACATAATATCTATCGCGCAGGTCGACTGCATGAACATACGCACATTCTCAACACGATAAATAATCGTGTAGACCAATTCAACTATCAACAATATTGCATGTAAACTGAAAAACAGACGAAACAATCTGTCACTCATAATCTAAGATTTCGTCGCGTTCCGAGCCATCGGCCAACAACAAACAAACTTCAAATCCAATTTGAGGAACGCAATAATTTTCTCCAATGTCATTCCCTTCATGTTGTTCGAACTTGTTTCTCTCGCAGCGAGTAATCGCCCGTTGAATTTTCATAAACCAGAAGTATCCCGATACTTCGTTCGTACAGCTCTCGCAATTCCGCGGAGAACTTTTCTTGCAATAAACGAAGAAAACTCGAGAGACCGGGAATTTATTTCATTCTTAATATTCTTCCTCGCATTTACCGACGATGTTAGAGATATCTCGTGTATTACGCGGCGTTTAGAAATGGTTATTATTCATCCTATCATTTTCCTATCTTTCCAGCGTACGAGCATACAGATTAATAAATTATAACATCGGCAATAATTACGCGAACGTGAAACGCGTTCTATAGCGACTCCTTTCCATTTTTCCTTCTATCTTTTCTGGAATTATCGTTGCAGTTGCACCTCGGAACGATAACGTGAGTAGAAACACATAAATGTTATAGCAAGGGTTTAAATACAATCGATGTTTTGATTATCTGTAGCTAATTTTAGTCACGGTGGAAGAGTATGACATATTCGACATAACGAAAATATAACAATTATCTCTGAGACTATGTGAGAGATTTATAAATCATGTCGAATGTTTAAATAAGCAGGTAGACTGTACGTTTATGTAAATGTACGTGTAGATCTTTTACATAGATAGCTAAATTGTCGAATTATCCAAAATAATTTTTCATTATCTAAATCGTTAGAGTGCAAAAGTAATTAATTTTTAAAGTCACACAAAATTATAAGTATTAGTTACTCTAAAATAAATTTGAAATAATTGCGTATAATTTTATTCTTTTATAAGAATAGGACGGAAAGTGTGTAATATAATAATATATTGTTTATTGTTAAAGTTTCTTTACTTTCTTATCTTTCACGAAATTAAAGGAACAATCACAACTGGTTTGCAAAATTATTTTATCGATCAAATTTTTTTTTTCATTTTGGGCAATTAGTATATTCATCTATACTATTTTGCTACATAGATTAAACTTGTCCCATGTCAAGAAATAGCGGTTTATTGCTCTTTGGATCATTCTTCATCCTCGGAAAGAATAATTCGGAACGTCGTTAAGTAAGAGAATGCGGTTGAAATATACTGTAGAAAGAAAGAATCGTGGACGAATTAATTAAATTCACATGTTCTTTTCTTGATGACATGATTCGTTATCTTACCGAAGCATAATGTTGAAAGGTCAGAGCCTTCAATAGACCGGGGACGGATATAACAATAGGTTGTTGGCATCGAAGCAACGTATACAGTATAATCTTTCGTGTATCAATACCCTGGTTATACCATAAAGAATTGTACGCAGATTCGGCGATGTTGGCACTCTGAAAAGTACCCCCCCCCATCCAATATGTATAAAAATATATATTCTATATATTTCTTTAATAATTTTTTTAATAATTAAATATACGTATATAAGGTGTTTGATAACTCATGTGGCCATAGCTAATGGAGATGTAAAATTAATTGAGATAAACAAAAAAAACAAAAACTGTTTTGTAATATCCCCAATAATTATCGAGTTATTAATTATAAAAAATCTGACGAATTCGCGCACTGAGATGATATTGGAGGAGCATAACTTTTGGACTATAATAGATGTTTAGATTATTAGGATATTATAATAGGAGCATAATTGAACTAAAGCGTGGTCCAGTCGATAAAGTAACTGTTACCGACGCGTAGCAAGATATAGGAGCGACGAGATAAAACATAAATAGCGGCATGTTGTCCTTATCCTTGCCGCACACCAACAAAATTCAGTAATTTGCTAGATCGAATGGGTTTCGCTCTTGGCTGTAACGCTTCTCCAATCATCTATCTCGACGTGTGCTCGTCATATTCGTAATTATGTAATTTATCATATTTGTAAAAGTAATATTGTAATTAATAACTCGATAATTATTGAAAAAATCACAAAATGGTATAGGACTTTTAAATTTATTTTAATTTATTCTATGTCTTCACGAATTTCTCGTAACGAGTTATAAGACATTCTGTATATATTTTTATATAGAGTCTTTAGTAACTCATGTAACGATAGCAATGGAGCAATGGAGACATAAAGCTGATTGAGATAAAAAATAATAAGTCAAATACCATTTTGCAAAAATAGTAAAAGTGACCAAGTTATTTATGGAAAAAATTGAATGAATTAATATGCGCCACGGCAGTAGTAGATGGCGTACTTGGCTGCTCGAACTTATAGCGTGGCTCGCCATGCTTAGTAATAGTTGCCGGCATGCAGTAAAAGGAAAAAATAGCTGCACGCCAACAATTATTGTTATACGAAGTAAACTGCTACAAGCTCAAGCGTCTAAGCATGCCACCCATTACTGCCATGGCAGACGCTAATTCATTTGATTGTTTCCATACGTAATTCGGCTTTCTGCAATTTTTGTAAAATGTTATTTGACTATTTTTTATCACAATCAGCTCTATGTCTCTATTGGCTATGGTTATATGAGTTACTAAACACTCTATATATATAAAAAATATAATTTATCGAGTTTTACAAATTTATTTTGTTTATTTACTGTCATATTTATTATTTATAATACAAGATGATTCAGGACAACTTGTCCTTAAAATGACATGTTCTTGAAATATTTCTAAGACGACTTTTTTCTCTTGCAAAATGTCATCCAAAGTTTTTGTCTTATAAATATAAGCAGAGAGAAACCTGAGAGCGGCCACTAGACTGGTTATATCGGGACGCTTTTTCCGACGCACTTCCTGAGAAAATGTGTGCACATTACATCCGTCCTGAGGGTAACTGCAAATCGTGCACGGTTCTTTTTCACTCTACTTCCTTAAGAAAGATAAAGTAAGTTAGAAAAGCGCAGACGATCAATCGTTCTCCATCTTTGTCTCACCACCGATAAGCAGACCGCGCGGCAAAAGTAGGCACGAGGCGAGTCAGCGGCGATCTTATCGCTAAGTTAGAATCTCCCCCGCCTCTTCGCTTTTTCATCTTTCACGCAACGCACTATCCGCAATTCGGGAAGAAATATTTTGAGACTGCGTAGACAACTTCTAGCAATAATACAAACCCAAATAGCACATGACGTCCTCAGGATTATCCTGAATATGTTCTAGGACGTCCTGGGACCAGGTGGGGACATTGTTATATCCATGGGACGTCCTGAAGATGTCCAAAGGACGTCCCATTCAGGACACTTTTGGGACATTCTCAGGACATACTCAAGAAAACACGAGGACGTCCTCGGGACAGCCACAGGACGAATATTCAGGAGAGTACAAAGATGTTCACTGTGAGGTACTAAGGACATCCTGGGGACGTTCTGTGGATCAGATTTACAGGACACCTTTATAACATTCGCAGGTCATATTTAGGAGAGAACGATGATGTTTTCGGAACGCTTTCAGGATATCTTCAAGACAAATTCAGGGCAACGCAAAGACATTGTCGAGAGAGCTATAGGACGTCTAGTATAGTCGTACTTGTGTACGTGTGTGTGCGTGTACAGAAATTTCATCAACTCCAATTATAAATGAGCTGTATATATATTTCTCTGGTATATATACATTTGTTATAAATAATATTAACTTACTAACTGAACATAAATCTTTGCAATATAATCTTTGTAATACAATAAACTATAAATAAATAAACTTATACTTGTTCTATCACACAAAAATAGTGTGTAATAAAATAATTTTCAAGCTCCTTGGAGCTTAAATCAAACGTAAAAATAATTTTATGGAGGATTCACACTGCATTTGACGTTCGACGTATCGACGATTCGATATCTAATAGGAGAACAGCTTAACCTCTTCTGTGGCTATACTAAAGTCTTTTTTTGGAAGAAAAAAACGGACTGAATTAATTCACACACCTAATATGTACAAACTTTCATTTATTAACGAATTATCTCGTTCTAATAATAATTAAGAAAAGCGTTTGAGTCACGTCAGCTCGCGGCGACGGCTCGTGACTCTCTCTCAACTGTTGTTGTTTTCTTCTTATCGATTTTTCGTCATCCAGACAATCTTCCTTCAGTTGTCAAAATCAACATCAGATGCCTAAGGTTCGCGGACAACGAACGTTGCCACAAATCTTGTGGCTCGGATACAACAATATATTTCGGCCTTTTACGAATGTATTCTGGATATCACTAAATCCCTTATAGTATATCTATTGGACGTACCTAGGATCAAATTTTGGTATGTGGGTTGGGACTGAAAAAATCTCGATCGGTTCAACTATTGTTAAGATATGAATATCTCACCTCGTTTCAACTCGCAGTTTCGCGTAATATAGGCACGATGTGCCTCTTGATAGCGAATGAGATGTTTTAAATTAATTATTATATTAAATTAATTGTATAAAATCATATAAAATTATATAAAATGTTATAATATTAAATTAAATATGATTAAATTAAAATGTATTAGTATTTTAACATTTGAGAATAAAATATTTGATTACAGGAATATTCCCAAACTGGAAAATAAACTTTAAAAATACAAACGAAAAAAACGGAAAGTAGTAAAAAGGGGGAAGAATATTATTCACGGTTTGAAAAGCATAAAATATTCTTACTTTCAAGAAAACCGACGAATTTGTATTCCTTTGTAAAGATTATTTAACTTGAGAATAACAGCTTTCGCCACTTGCAATTAGTATGTGTTTTCATAATAATAAAGAGTTGTATTTTCAATTTCAATTTTTCAATTTGGTTCGATTGCGAGTTATAAATTTTCTTCCCTCTTCGTGGCGGACAAAGTTAAAGAGAACAAAGGTTAGCACTCTGTCGGTCGCAGTCAAACGCCGATGAATTGCGCCATTCCTACCTATCTCTTGTATCCGACTTCTAATAAGCAAACTACTTATCTTTATAATTCCAAAACTGAACTTCGGATAATATCTTGCAAAAGAAGAAATTGTCTTAGAACTTGTTTAAGAACATGTCATTTCAAGAATAATAAGTTGTTCTGAATCACTCTGTGTAGTATAATATGTTGCAGGGAAAAAGGCAAAATGAGTTTTTCACTCGTATACTTACCGTCCTCATCAAGTGATCAGCCGGCCAAGTGCACAAAAGTACCTTCGTCAACGACGAAGAACACACGATTATATACTGAATTTTGATGGATGGCGGAAGTCGCTGTTTCATAAATGTTCAATAGATAATTTGCAAATGAATATTATCCCTTCCTTTCTCTTCCTCACTCCCTACTCTCTCTCTTTCTCAATGTTATTTAAAAAATTTTTATACATACACTGAGAAACGTAACGCCACCGAATACTAAAGCTGCGGTGCTAACACCTAACGATGACAACACCACATGTGCTATAGAATTGGTCACTTCCCTCGCATATCTAAAAAGATTCATTTATTAAATGTCTATTCCGGCTTTTTTTTATCAAAATTCTACAATTAGTAAAATCGTACGAAAGAGAAACATTTCCGCGTGAAATATACTCACCCGCAAGAAAAAACGGGCCACTAAATTTCAACACAATTTTCTAACATCTTTCAATAGCAATAACTCAGTCAAAAATTATCGTATTGAGATGAAACGAAGTTCAAATTAAAGCTTGAGCATTTTTTGTCAACAACTAAAAATCTAAAAATGAATTATAAAAAATAATTTATCAAATGGCGGATGTTGAAAATAAACTTCGATTAATGAGAAAAAATCTGTTTTTTAACTGTTGCATTGCTTAGGGGAATCCGTTCTCTGGCACAAAAATATATGAAGTTTAAAGCTCATTTATTTCCTATCAAATTTATATTTTAATCATTTTTCTACGATCTTTTTTGGTAACGTTATACCGTTTTGAAGAAAATGTTACAAAATGGACAACCTTTTCTTGTAAAGTCTGCGGTTCAGAATAAAAATTATCATGGAAAACTTTTTCAAAAAGGAAATTAACATGTAACTCGATCAAGATGTTCCACGTGATAGTAGATGATCAGATTTAAATCTCGTGTGAATGCATGCGTGTGTATATGTCCTGCTCTTAACATTATCCAAGATCAATGACGTAGACGTGGCAGGAATTTGATCCCGTGTGTGTGCGTGTGTGTGTGTGTGTGTGTCTAACAAGTTGTAAGTTTAATAATGCGTATTGTCTCCTCTCGTATTTAACAATTCTTCTGTTCGTTGGGGCATACTGTAAATCAAATTTCTGATTTCATTTTGTTCTATATTGTTCCATTCTTCTTGCAAAGCATTGCGAAATGCTGCTAACGTTTGAGTATTATATTTTCTTATTCTTCGTTTCAACATGCTGCTCATAAATGCTCGATAGGATTCATATCCGGATTCATAACATTTTCTTTAAAACGGCATAACTTTGTCAAAAAAAGTCGTAGAAAAATGATTAAAATATGGATTTGTTAGGAAATAAATGAGCTTTAAACCTTATACATTTTTGTGCCAAAGAGCGGATATTCCCCTGAGCAATACAACAGTTAAAAAACAAATTTTTTCTCATTAATCGAAGTATGTTTTCAACATCCGCCATTTTGTAAACCATTTTTTATAATTCACTTTTAGGTTTTTGGTTGTTGACAAGAAATGCCCAAGCTTTAATTCACCTTTTTGAGTTTTGTTTCATCTCAATACGATAATTTTTGGCTGAGTTATTGCTATTGAAAGATGTTAGAAAATTGTGTTAAAATTTAGTGGCCCGTTTTCTTTTGTGGGTGAGTATATAATTTTACGTAGATATAAAATTTTCGTTATATTACGAGATAAAAAAATCAACAAAAATTAATTACTTAGTTGAATTAAATATCTGAGCTATTAATAATCGTAACTGATTGGATTTTTACTAGAATCTCACTTTGAATCCCAATTCAAATCTCAAGCATACCTTAAGATATCTTGGTGCTTCTGTATGTATGCTTTACACTCGGCATAATCCGCAGCTGTGCGAAATTTATTGGACAAGATCTCAAAACGTGCTGTCGTGAACCACAGCAGAAGTGCGAGGAAAACGTTAGAACATACTTGGCAATAAACCTGATACATCCCGAGCGCTTGGTGGAAATAAATGATCGCCGTCATCGGTTGATAATCAACACGAAACGGATATTCTATTTCCAGTGGGAACGTATGGGATCGCATGAGCGGCACCACGAGTGAACCAACTAAAGACGCAGTAGTGAGAGCCAACGTAATACCATAGAAGGACGTGTATTTATTGCAATATTGTTGGATCACGTCTCTCTCCTCGACAGTCGTTCGTTCATAGTACTCTTCCATCTCGCAAATAACATTCTGCAAAAAAATCGCGACTTCGTCAAGATGTATAATACCATAACCGTACCAAAATACATTTCAAAGGTACGTCCTTGTTATTGAGAGACGATCTATTTCATATTTTAAGTTTTTTGCAAAAAGCTCGTCGGACATTTTAAAGGATTAAGAACGAAGTTATGTATTTCAAGATATTAAATATTTTTTTTAAATCTCAGTGTTAATAATTTTTACAAATAATTTTTTTAAATCTCAGTGTTAATAATTTTTACAAATGAAGTGGACAACATTGAATGAGAATTCTTTTAGATATCTTTAATATGACTTTTCTATTTTGTTTTCAATATTAATATCACTTGATATCAGTACTATCTACAAGTCAGAATTTAATCAGAACTTTTTAAAAATGACAAATCTTTTGTAGAAATCTGATGCTACGCTTTTATAACCAATATGTAAAAACAACAGATTCTTACTTGCAAACGATCGTATTTCTGTGTAAACAGACATGTCTGCAGCGGTACCTCGCAAAAGATACCCAGCGCACAAGCCAATTGCATGATCAGGAAGACATCGTCGAGATGGTTACTAATCGAATATGTCAATTCGACGACCACGAGCACGCCGTTCACCACTGACAAAAATCGAAATATCCTGTCGAGAGTGACCTGGAAGCTCGTGGCAGTTCGCGATAGTGGCCAACAACAGGCAAACTTAAGATGCACCCGCAAAAACGTTATAATTTTGTCCAATGTCGGCGCGTCTTTCATGCCAATTATCACTGGAATTTTTCTTCGTGAGGCGATATAGACGTAGACACTTTTTCGGTCGTGACTATTATCCTCGAGACTTTCGCTTGACAGTTTTCACAGAGAACTTACCGCACGATAAGCGAGGAAATTTTAACGCACGCTTTTTCTTAGAACAACGTAAAGTACACTTACGAGATGAGAAATATTTCAGAGGATTATTATATAATGCAAACGACTGTTACATTTGTTACGCTAGATCTCCTCTTTTTTGAGATTATGCACGAGCGTGTGTAGATTAATAAGTCATGCAACTGATGAGTATCACGCATATAACGTGCCATAGTAACATCAGTTGTTTCCGACTCGATTTTCCGGTAGTTATCTTCGATATAAATTATTACAGGGCACTCTTTCTCACGCGATTCGTGTATATGTTCGTTTGAAATATGCTATTATAGAGAAGAGTTTTATTTAATTTACGCTTGATATACGTTCATCTTACTCTTTATAAAGTTTTTAAGTATGGCGAGGTAAGTCGACATATTTTACATTGCGTAAAAATATTATGGAAATATGTTCAAAAATATTGCAGAGAAGACTTCTTTGTTCGAATTTTTTCGTTAATTATTTTCTTATCTATATTTCTCTATGATTGTGTGTGTGCTTTCTTTTGAATTATAATTATTTTGTAATTGTAAAAGAAAATACACATTTAGAAAAGATAAATTCCTGAGTATATTACGAAAGTATCACAATAATTGTAAGTGAATATTCGTATACAGTTAAATCTATTATGATTAACCGATGCCGATCGGAGTTCAAAAAAATTCGAGAAACATCATGTTTCAACTAACAAAAGTAAATAATTGAATTTTGACCTTACTGAGTCTTTACAATAATTAACTTAGACAATAATTAACTCTATACTAGTTTTAACTTTACTTTCGCATTTTTGTAAACTTTTATCTTGCAAATAAGTTAAATGCGATCCCCCAGTATCGTTCGTAGCGTTAGAAAATACGAAAATCCTAAAGAAAAAACCTAAAAATACAAACACGTATAAACGTTCATTCATATCGCTCTTAACAAATCGCATCCGCAATTTACCTTGCCACAAAAATTGACAGAGATCGTAGGTATTATGTAGGCTTTAACCGTAACTGGTTTCTGACATCTTTGCATAATCATGAAAACATCTCGACGTATACTCGGCGTCGCGTACATCCACGGAATGTCGTAAATTCGCCAAGAAACCTCGTAAGCCTGTAAAAAAATTAAAATAAGAAAAAAGACAAAAATTGACGATAAATATATTTATTGGAAGTAAAAAAATGTCGGTTTAATCGGTACGATTGTTGTTAAAAATAATTTAAACAATAACCATGTTGGTCATCATCTCCGCTGCCCAGCAGCCGATGCAAAGTCTCATAAGACACAGAAAGATGATCGAGAGAAACTGGATCAGTTCCCAAAAGGGCAAGTTCTGCAATAAACCGGATAAAGCATGAGCTCGAAGGAGGAACTTATGTGAGGAACTTATAATTAAAAAATAATAAATTTCGGTAAATGCATACGCTCTAATTAATGTCTCCCTTAGTTGCACCAATTAGTTAACATTTGGATTTAACAGAAGGACATTGATGTTACCATTGTCCTGGAGGAGGAACGTAACTGGACGCTTGTTTTCACAAGCTCCAACGTACTCGCAAGTCTGCGGTGCAGATCAAGGATCGGAAAAGAGAATCCCTTTATCTGGCACGGGCGTACGTCGGTGGTCCTTTATTTAGGTCAAGGAACTGAATTCTTTTATCTGGGATAGGACCGTGAACGACAGTTGAGGGAGGGGAAAATTTTTCTTTAGAATAATTAGTAGAAAATCATGATTGCGTTATAATTACAAATTGCTCATTTCATTAATAGCTAAGCGGAAGTTCACAGTGAAGTATATCCGCTGGAATTTGTGAGGTTTTATATTAGATAAATCGGAAAGTTCCGTCCGTTTAGCGACAAGTAGCTATAGCTAGAACTGTCGTTAACCTGTAATGTCTAAACGAAGCTTAATAGTTTGTTTTGACATCTGTCAATAACATTCAGTACATAAAAGTATACGTTTGCATCAATAACATTATTTTTCACTGCATCGAAAATGTCGAAATTTGAGCCAAATAAACGTCATTTGCGCGAAGTATCAATCTTTTGCTTCAATTGAAAGAAAATTGCAGCTGAAGCTCATCGAATTCTTGTAGAAGTTTATGGTGATAATGCTCCTTCCGATAAAACATGCAGAGAATGGTTTCGATGCTTTAAAATTGGCGATTTTGATGTAGAGGACAAAGAGCGTTCTGGACGGCCAAAAGTATTTGAAGACGAAGAATTGCAAACATTGGTGGACGAAGACCCATGTCAAAAGCAACTTGCAGAAGCATTAAATTGTGCTCAATCTGTCATTTCCGATCGTTTGAAAGCCTTAGGAAAGGTTTACAAGGAAGGAAAATGGGTCCCATATGAACTGAAGCCAAGAGACATTGAAAGGCGAAAAATCACCTGCGAAATTCTGCTCGCTAGGCAACAAAGAAAGGGCTTTCCACATCGTATCATCACTGGGGATGAAAAATGGATTTATTTTGACAATCCTTATTTTGACCTTATGTATATAAACAATCGCGATCTGAATGACGGTTCTCGGTTATCCTAAAGGATATTCTGATACGGGAAGATCCGGTGGCCGGGAAGCACGAGGTGTAGAGGAAATTGCGGTGATGATGCTTCCGAAGAGCAAGAGTGAATGGGTATGAGGCCGCGGAGTAAGGCTGCGTGGAAACCACGTGTACCGCTTCGTAGAGGTGAGATCAGAGGAGAAGCTATCGGAGAAGGGCTCCAAAGTAGAGGAGAGCCTATAGAAGATCGGTCGTCTATGGAACTCAAGAATGTCGGAGAGTAAGAGATAGGAGGTGGACTCCCAGGGAGGGATTCAGGAAGGAACAAGGAAGAGAACGAGAAAGTCTTAAAGTGTCTGTCTTGATGTGTCGAAAAACATAATCCGGTCTCGGGTTGTCAATACTATAAACACGACCTCGAAATCCTTGCTGTCCGAGCAAAATTCCGTGTTCGTTATGTCCGACTGTGATCGAAAAAATTGGGCCACTGAAACCGGATTTCACGATTAAGGAAGAATGAGGGGGATAGAAAAAAAAGAAAGAAAAGAGAGAAAGAAGAAAAGAAAAAAAAATAAAAGGAAAGGGGTCAGTCAGGGAAAATAAAATATAAATAACTTACTGCTGCTTCTATGATATTTGTCGAAGATGAAGAGAGTAATTGTTGCGGGTCTATGGAGGTGGATGACCCAAGTTCTGCGCCAAGAATCGGGAGCTGGTTTCAGCTAGATTGTTCACAATGGTCCCAAAATACACGAGATCGTTGCACAGAATAATTAAAGGCTGGAGGAACACTAATATGTCTAAGCCACTAGTAGTCTAGATTGTTAGAAAAACCTTAAAGAGGTGCTGAAGAGGAGCTTCTGTCCTGGTTGCTGATCTGGCGAAAAGTGAAGTGGCCTTTTGGCTTTTCTCAAATCGTCAGCTTGGTTGAAAGAGTGGGGTTTTGGGAACTTGCTTCGGAAATTTAATTTTTATGTCCAAATATGGTTATAGAACTGTGTAGTGTATGCGTTATGTATTTTTAAAAAGTATAAAACACAACAGACTGTGCTTCAAATGTTTTTTAGAGGTGGGGGTTAAGAGTACGTTGCAGTGTCTTTAAGATAATTTTGTAGGAGATAGGATGCAAACGGCAATAAGAGGATTTCGAGAATCTCTTTGTTCTTACAAAAAAGCGCGGCAGCAATCTTATTAACATCGATATTTTTTTACCCGAGTTGTCCAATGATAAATAAGGGAATAGCTGAGTTCAGTTGCGGTTAAGAAGGATGTCGCGATATTGTTAACGTTGACTAAGCGCATGGGAAACAAGATCTGAGTTGGTTCAAGGATTTGTTAATATTTCCGGAGCATCGAAACTTCCAGAGATTCCAGGGCCATCGCGTCGTATGATAACATGCTTGATCTGACCATATAATAAATAATATAAAATTCAATTTTTCTTACTTATAAAAGAAGTCTACAGTACGCGGAGTCCGCAGGACGTAATATCGTTACGTCTTTACTTTCTTCCAATGCCGTTTTTTGTAATTAAATAAATGTTTGTTATTAAACTCACAATTCATACTTACATTTATAACCAGTAGACTGCAATTTATCGAATTGACGAAAACAACTACCACCGATTTCATGATCAGAAAGCCGATGACATATTCCATCTCTTGTGTATAACTAAATTGAAATTTCATGAAATAACACACTCATAAACACAATAACGTAAATTTCGCATCAATTATTATCATCGTTAATACTACAATAAAAAAGAATATTCAAAAAGATGTCTTGCGCAAAATGATCAACATACGCGAACACTTTCTGATGTGCATCGATGGCGGCTCGCAGCTTAGCAACGGTGAACACAGAATGCATTTGTATGCCTACCAAGCTAAACTTGAAGGTGGCATTCCACAATATGGTGATTATCATTAAGTCGATTTGTAACACAGAAAAGGCTTGTATAATAGAAAAGACGTTCAGTGTATAAACAAGGCACCAGGCCCACATTTCTGACATGGACAACGGATATATAGTATTGAGCGGAATCTGTCTTCTTTGCGATAACACTAATGGTGATAACGCGAACGTTATTGCACAGACGAAATATATTATCACCGCGCAGGTATAAACCACACGCGCGTAGAACATGAATTCTCGCCTCAAGATTTCCTCGTATGGAGAGCGTTCGTCGTCAGCACATTCCAACTCGGCTAACAATTTCTGCAAAAATGTGCCATCTGTTGTTCATATCATGTTATACCGAACGATTACAAATAGATTGGACAAACAAAAAATATAAGACTGCAAAGTAATATACGTAAAAATCGAAATATAAATTAAAAATGAATATAGGATAAAAAGTAGCGGTTGTAACTGTTAATAGTACTCGCAAATAGCGAGGTAAATATGCTCAATTGAAACATAGTATGTACAGGATAAGCCAAATAAAGTTACAGCTCAATATCTCTAAAACGACTAGATGGATTTTAATATTTTTGGATTTAGTCTTCTCAGCTCGCCCTTTCATATGGCCTTATTTTCATTTTACGCAATCACCTTCGCGCGACGTGGGAGGCACCAACTTCGTTTTCTTAAGTGGCATCCGCAAAAATTTTTACATTAGTAGTAGTAAAGCAAGACGGGTCTGACTCAATTTGCAAAACATTTTGCAAAATCCGCTCTTTATTAATTAAATATTTTCAATCATCATAACCCCCTTTCCTAGAATTTGTTGCTTCTATGAGCAAGATGACGGCCGTGACGTCACGCTATGGGTAAGATGGCGGCCGTGACGTCACGCATATGTCCAGAGAAAAATGTGCCGGGATGTTGCTAGACTCGAAAAGCCTGAGCCCTCGCGGTTACTATTCAACGCTCCAAACCCTCTTAAGACCACCGTCGTCTGTTGCTAGTAGAGACGTCTAGTGAAGGTTTTTAAAATGTGTATGATGACGTCACGAGAGAAAAAGCTGCCGAGATGTTGCTGAGACTCGAAACCTGGGCCCTCGCAGTTATTACCCAACGCTCCAACCTTCTAGACCACCGTCGCCTGTTGATAGTAGTGTCTAGTGAAGGTTCTTATAGTGTATATGATGACGTCACGAAAGAAAAAATGTGCTAGGTGTTGCTAGACTTGAACCTAGGACCTCGCGGTTACTATTCAACGCCCCTATCTCCTAGACCACCGTTGCTTGTTGCTTGTAGACGTCTAGTGAAGGTTCTTGTAGTGTGTATGATGACGTCACGTATACGTCAAAAGAAAAAAAATTAGTCAAGACCGAGCCATACTCGAACCTGAACCTTTCGTTTACTACGCAATGGTCTTACTACCTAGACTACCGTGGACTCTTACTAATGGACATGCAGTGAAGCTTCTCAAAGTGCGTATGATGACGTCACATATACGTCAAAGAAAAAATAAATTTAAACCAAGATTCGAACCTGAAACTTTCGTTTACTATGTGGCCCTACCACCTAGACCATCTGTAGATCTGTGCTTGCGGACGCGCACAGTGAAGTTTCTTACAGTGTGTGAGACGTCACGTATACGTCGAAAGAAAAAATAAATCGAAAACTAAACCAGACTCGAAGCCGGACCCTTCATTTACTGTGCAATGGTCCTACCACTTAGACCACCGTAGACTCTTGTTAGGGAGAGCGCGCAGTAAAGCTTCTCAAACTGTATATTACAATAACGGACAGAGTGGGAGGGACATAGTCCTCATCTGCAGTTTTTCAGCGACTACTATCAAAACGTATATTGAACCATTATTGAACATCTATCGAACGTTTACTGTACCATATCGAACCATTATTAAATGTCTATTAAATATCTACCATTCCGTATCGAACCACTGTCAAACGTCTATCGAACATCTCTCGAACATCTAATAAGCATCATACCACAAATCCGGTATTTTTAAGATACCCTGTATAATATATAAATATAAATATATAAGTATATAATATATAAATATAAATACATATTTATATTCATATATTTATATATATATTTATTTATTTATAGATCGTGACTAAAAAGCTCATAAGAATCAAGTTAGAATAATAAGAAAGTAAAATAAGAAAATAATATACAGAAGTAAAGAATCTTAAAAGTCAAACGAAGAAAAAAACTTGCGAAGATCTAATCTAAGCATATAATCTAGAGGATATTTAGATTATTTTTCATCTTGATAATAATAATAATAAACCTCATTATATAATAATAAACAATAAACCTTATTCTTGCATTATTTTTATCACTTATAACAGTACAAAAGATTTGAATTGTAACACATGAACCAGCTAATAGTTAAATTAGATGAAATATTTACCCGAAATCGTTTCTCTCGCACCATACAATATAGAATATTAACAATCTCTTCTGAAACGTACATCAACTCCATTATAGCTTTCATTACATTAGCGAAATCATTTCGATGGTGCGACATGTTCCATATAAGCGTGGGTACCATGCTGAAATCGTTCACCAGGTAGACCCATAACAGCACTTTGTAAGAGATAACTTTGAATCTACCAGCTCCATCTTCCAACGGCCAAACACTGGTCAATATCCCGCAAATACGTAACGCGCGTAATATCTTGTCGTTTTTCACAAAGACACTCATACTTACAAGGCGTCTGTATATTCACAAAAGCACCGTCTATATCTCCTCAGTTTCTGAGTGATTCAAGCTCTGTCGGACTACTTTTACAGCTCATTGAAGTAACTTACGCATGCAGTGACTGGAAAATATATGTGAGATAATGCGCGAATGTAGGATTTTCTCATATTCACCGACGACAAGCCAATTGTCCATATATTACATTTGTAGATTACATCGAGCGATTAGACCATCGCAAATGTATCACTTAATGAAACGATTACTATTAACGAACGTGAGAATCGAAGCGTGCGCCAACTTTATTAATGAGCGAAGTCGTTAAGTTTCCTTCGCAGAATGTTTAGCATCAAACCAATGTCATAATGTCTTTTTCTTGAAAGTAACATCGATTTAACGCTTTCAAATATTCGTTGAATTTTTCATAATCAAAACATTTTTCGATAAAGGAAGTTTTATATGTAATAATGTAGAAAAAAATATATTATTTCATTAGACATAAATATATTAAATCCAAATTAATATTTATGATTATTCATATATCCTCTCAATTTTTTTACTATTAGTACGAAAAGATAGGAAGAATCTATTTTGCACACTTGGTCATAAACTTAATTAATACAATAAAGAACCAAAAAAAGATAACATCGTAATCCCAATAATCGTAAAAGTTCATTTTATTGTCAACGTCTATATTTACGTTTAGACGTTACAGATATAATCGGAGTGCTTGTAACGCACATTGATCTACAACTAGTCTTGTGTGGGTGTAACATCTATTTAAAACCGATCATATTTGCAGACCATCCTCAGCAAATACCGCTCGAAAAGTTATCAGATAAGAAAACGTAGTTGACAAATATTGCAAACACAAATATATGCAATTTTAATTACCGATGGAGCGTCTTATGCACATTGGTTAAAATTTTGGTTTTACATTAACCCATTAACGCCCAAAATATTAGCCTTACTTTGCAACTGTATCTTATGTAGAGAAACATATTATATAAGGTTGGAATAGCATTTCCTTATGTTTTCGGGGTCGTTCTACAAGATTCCGGCATCAGAATTCGTTTAGATTCACAATAAAATCCAATATGGCGGAATTTTCGGAAAAAAGTCGTGAAAAGTCGACAATTTTATTTTTTATAAGCTTGATTTAGTATAAAAAATGTTACTTTGATACAGATACAAGTGTCACATCTTGCCTCAAAAATGTTGAACTTTCAAGATATGCATTGGTGAGAATGTGAATTCAATATGGCTGCCTCAAAATGGCGGTTTGAGAGAAAAAAAGTTAAAAAATAATGTATTTTTAAAATAACTTCGCAAAATCCTAGTATTTAGCATCAATTTAGTATCCAGGGTACTGATTTTAGGATATTTGCTGACAACTAATTCATATTCTAATATTTCTCTAGAATTTCAAAATGGCGGATCCAAGATGGCGACTAAAAGGCACGAATAATCGTGAAAATTTCCAAATTTTCATGAATTTTCTTCTATTATTTTCATATTCATGAATTATTTTCGAGGCGTATATACGCACATATACAGGGTGGGTAATTATAAACTTACAAACTGTATAAAAACATAAAAAACATCGAGATAAGTACAACGGACGGGAAAGACAACGTCTTTCCAAAATCTTCTTCATCCGTTTCTTCCTTGGCTCCTCTTCGGACAGGGAGGGGGAACTCCCGTGGAAGGAAGTCCAACGTTCTTTTGAAGAACACCCCAAGTCCCTGCTACGGCCCGTGGGGGAAGCAGCCTTCTTAATTCATTGTTGACGGACAAATTCTGAAGAGCTGGAAAACGGTGAAGACAACAAAGAAGAAAACGATGTTTCTGAAAAACATGGAAAAGAATAAATCTTCGTCTTTTAAATAAATATCTTACATTTATTAACGGGCTCAGATTTTCTATCGACATCAAACCGTTTGTTCACAAAGAGAAGCCAGCCTATCTGAATGAATTATTTTCTTCCTATGCTTTTTCGACTTCTGAATACAAAAGACTACATCACTCAATTTCTTAACAATTTCGAAAGGTCCTTCCCAATGCGACTGTAACTTCGGTGCTTTTCCGCGAAGTTGGGCGGCCAACTGTACCGTTTTTGTCAAACTATCCCACCCATTGGTCTGCGCGATCATTTCGAACTGCCCTGTGTATTCCCGGAACGGAACTATCCCGTCAAAAACGTCGGGCTTTAATTTTTTTCCATTAACAAAACTGTTTTGGAAGCGACTTAGCTATTCTGATTCCCCGGCTGCGGCCATCCGACCCCGAAGCTCCTGAAGCTCTCGTCGCTACTGCTCTCTCTCCGTTCGGAGTTGTCGTAACTCATCCATCAACTCTCGAATCGAGGCCGCTTCCTGAGCCATGCCCTGAGAGTTTGCAAGCTTCTATCTCCGCTGTTTCGTCAAAATGTTGCCACTTCCTTGTAACTCGCTGGGCCATTCACAAATTTCTTTTTCTTTTTCACACGTAAGGCTCGGAAAGCAAATTCCCGGACGAGCCCCCAAATGTTACGCTTCGCGCACGTTCGGGGAAATAACAAGAAGGCAATTTATAAAAGAACGGTTTAATTGAGCTCGTTACGTCTTTACAACTCGGAGGTCTTCTCCTGACTTTCTTTCTCTCGTTGTTAACAACAACAACCCAGCAACAGCTGACCATGCCGGCGCTCGCTATCCGTCTTCTGTCTAATCAATATTTCAATGCCGTAATAATATTATATTTTATTTAATATTAAACTGTAACGGGGTTCCCTACCCCACTGCTAATTGCGGTGCCCGGTCTTGTTCGCTGGCGCTAGGATTCGCGGGGAGGTGCGTAAGAGCAGATATGCGATATCCAATTATTGGGTGAGTGCAAAAGTTCGTGCAGAGTTTCAATAGATGGAGTTATAAGCGTCGTAAAGTGTTGTCATTAATACTTCCATCTACATATTATATAACGTTGGAAAGGTGACGTCTTCAGCTGTTATTAAAAAAAAAAATCATTTGTTTTCATACAAACTGCTTCGAGAAATATCACTTTAAAAATGAGTATCGATAAGGTGCATTTACGGCATGTTATGCTTTACGAGTTTCGGAAGGGAATAAACGTTGCCACAGCCGTAAAAAACATTCAGGATGTTTATCAGGATGCCAGGATCAGCACCAGCTAAACGAACTGTGGAAAAATGGTTTGCTAAATTTCGGCGCGGAGAATTTAACCTTGAAGACGAGCCACGCTCTGGTCGACCTTCTGACATTGATGACGATGTTTTGCGTACTTTAGTGCTCAATAATCCGCGAATTTCAACAGAAGAAGTTGCTACAGCAACTTCTAAACTAAACATTGACCGATCAACCGCTTTTCGGCGTGTAAAAAAGATGGGATTCGATTTGAAGCTCGATATATGGGTGCCCCATTTGCTGACCGAGAAGAACAAAATCAAGCGAATTTCTGCAGCCGTTTCTTTACTCGGGCGGCTCAATAACGAGTCGTTTTTGGATCGACTAGTGACGGGCGATGAGAAATGGGTCCTCTACAACAATGTTCAGCGCAAACGGACATGGAAACAATCAGGTGAGCATGGTGACGCAATGCCAAAGGCCAGTTTGCACCCGATGAAGGTGATGCTCTCTGTTTGGTGGGATTGCAAGGGCATAATCTATTTCGAGCTTCTCCCCGCTGGCGAAACGATTGATTCGGATAAGTACTGTCGCCAATTAACCAATCTGAATCGAGAAATAAAAGAGAAACGTCCGATTTTGTCAAATCGCAAGGGAGTCGTCTTTCATCACGACAACGCCAGACCACACGTTTCGAAAAAGACGCTGCGCAAACTGAAGAGCCTGAAATGGGATGTCTTAACGCATCCACCGTATTCTCCTGATATCGCACCATCTGACTATCACTTGTTCCGGTCATTGCAAAATTATTTAAATGGAAAAAACTTTGACTCTTTGGAGGCCTTAAAAAACGGCGTCTCTTCGTTCTTCGAATCTAAACCGTGCAGTTTTTATGATCGAGGCATCCGTATGCTGCCAGAACGTTGGGAAAAGATTATAGAAAACGATGGAGAATATATCATTGATTGAATAAAGATTTTTGTTTGCCTAATCACTGTGTGACTTTTACTCACAAACTCCGCACGAACTTTTGCACTCACCCAATACTAGCTTTTTATTTTTGAACCGCTATACTCTAATGTGCACTATTTACAAAAGTTATCTGCTGGTCGGGGTTCGTCCGACCGGTTTGTCTTCCGTAACCCTCTCCTGATGTTTGGAGTTGCCTGCCGAGGGGTCCGTACCGCCAATGGCTCTGGGCTTGAAAGCTTCGGCCATCCGCGGCGGTCCTAGCCCTAACGGGCGGTCCCTAGTTGCTGGCCTCCGGGTGCATAAGCCCCTGGTCAGGGTTTCGGATGTCCTTGAGGATGCCCTCGGCTTCTTTTTTCCGGGCGTTCGTCACGCGAGATACGGCCGGGAAGGGATGTTGTTATCTCGGCGGTAAGGCGCGGTGGGTGACTACGAGTTCAGTGGCCGGGGCGGTCTTCGCCGACCCTTAGATTAGGAGCGGTAAGAAGCTGCAGAAGACCACGAGTTCCGTGGTCGGGGCGGTCTTCGTCGACCCGTAAGTTAGGAGCGATAAGGAGCGGTAGGTGAGCGAGAATTCTGAGCAGCGTCTCATCGTTGTCTCTTGCTTGGTCTTCTCTCTGAGGAGCCCGGTGGTCGAGTGTCTCTCGGGCTGCTCATCAGCCGATATCTCTGGCTGAGGCATCTTCGGACGTCTTCGGTGGCCCGTTCGGTTATCTTCGGCCGGAAGCTGGCGTGCGCGTCGCTTCCGGTGTTTAAGGTATTCTGACAACTTCTGTCGTGTTCGTGCCGGGCCTGCTCGATGGGTTGCCGGTTCTCAAGAGCCGTACCCAGCATTGCCAGCAAAACTGTGTTCGATTGTGCCAAAAAGTGTGCCACATTAGTGCGTTTTGTGCCATTCGAGCTAAATTTATATATTTTGAAGATATTATAAGAACTGAGGAATCTATAACAATTTTTATTGTCTAATCTTATATTTGCATCTTAAATTTGCATCTTAAAAACTAACACTTTTTGTGTATCTTTAGAGGTTCGGAAATTTTACTTTGAGAGCTGTATTCATAATCTGGTCTTATATTTAAGATCGTCTTAAGTTCATCTTCAGATGCTGTATAGATCATTTCATTGGCTACAGAATATCTGAACGTGAACTCAAGACGGTTTTAAATATAAGATCCGACTATGAATACGGCCCTGAATGTAGAGTAATTGAATTAACCAATCATGATAAAAAGATATTTGCTCTTTTTATTCTTATTAGTTAATCCGATGCTAGTTACTTTATCCGTAATGTGCAAGTTCCGAACGCACTCCAGATAATGTAAGTGCCACTTTATTGGTTATACTAAATCTACATACTCTTGCTTGTAAAATGCGATACGTTTGTCATAGAATCCAAAGATTTAAAACTTTCACTTAAAAATGGAATTATATCACTTTTTCTTTTTTTGTGCCACAAAAAATGCATAATGTACCACCAAATCACTAAATTTGTGCCACTGACCTTTAATTGTGCCACATGTGGTACGAATGTGCCATGACTGGCAACGCTGGCCGTGCCTAGTGCGGCGGTTTGACTATCTGTCATCTGGCGGCTGTGCACTTGAGTGCGTAACGAGCGATCATTTAGCTCGCTCGTTACAAAACCAAATTAAATATTAAATATATAAAATAAAATATTAATAAATAATAAAACATTAATAAACTCGTTTAGATGGAATATAAATTAAGTTGAAAAGTCGAAATCCAAAAAATTTGTGTGCTTAAATCATATTAAAACATGTAAGCCTTGAGAAATATCAACTATCATTCTAAATCTATAAAATGTTATTATAATTATAGAAAAAGTACAAGCAATTAATATAAGATGGAAAATATATAATTTATTAAGTTTTGCCTCAGCGTAAACGTTAGAAATTTGTTCCGAAACTAGAAATGTTAGGCATCGACAACAGAACATTAAGACTGAAATTAGTTATCTCATATCTGCAAAAACAGTAGACAGTTGCCCTACTCAAGATGCATTTTCTTTCTATATGTATTCCACAGATATAGAAAATTCTAGTCCGACATGAACAAGAAACGTGCTTCAGACTAATTGTCGTCATCCTCAAATAAGACTCGGAAAGTGGTCAGATAGGAAAAAGCAGTTAAGACGTACTAAAAATAATTTTGAACATTATACACAAAATTTTTTTTACATTTTACGTGATATGTTAATTATATGATGCTAAAGATTGTTTCTATAAAACATAAATAGACAAAATCTAAGAAAATAACTTATCTTATTGAATATAAGATCTAATAGAGTTAATTCTTTTCGATTTTCGACAATTTTCAATCTTTATTTAAAAGTTAATAGAATATCTTATTGAATATAAGATCTAATAGAGTTAATTTTTTCTGATTTTCGATAATTTTCAATCTTTATTTAAAAGTTAATAGAATAAGGTTAATCAATGAAATATTCTTCGTTGTTATCAATAACCATTTATTGGACAGTTACCGAATCCTATCACGATAGAAACTTGGCTTTGAGGCCATAAAGTCATCGAATTTCGTACGTCGTCAACTGTCGAAAAATGTCTATTAGACAGGGCGTTTCGACTGAAACAAGTGAAAATTGGATGAAACCAAGTCTGAAGAATATGCCGCGCGTGGAAGAATTTCCCAATCCAAGTTTAAGATGGTTTCCTTTGCGGCTTCCGCTGTATGCGGTTCAGTATTGTTGTGTATCAGGATGACTTTATGACTGTCTTGTCCAATAAATGCCTTTTTCTCAATTGCATCACTTAAACAATTGCTCTTGGTAAATCTATGCTTTAATAGTCTTATTGGTTCTAAGATCTAATGATACAACACACTCTTCTGGTCCCACCATATACAGAGAAGAACTTTTATGCGAAACGTTTGGCTTTTGTTGTCGATGTTGTCGGTTGACCAAGATCTACCCATGATTTTTGCGTTTAAGATTTTCATGCATAATCAATTTTTCATCACCAGTCATAATTTTAAATGAAAAATTTGTTGTTGTTGTCTGGTGAGCAAGACAACGTATGTGGTCAATCGGCGATTTTTGTTAATGGTTTGCTTGTGTGGAGCTCACTTCCCTTTTTTCTTGTTTTTCGTATACGATGTAAACTATCGCAAATAACTTTCTGGCTTACTTCCAACTTTTCCACAAGTTCTTGTTGTATTTGTACCATATTTTAATTCAGTAAATTTTGCAACTACTAGTCTTTAAATTTCTTTGACTGACTGGAGCGTAGTTGGTCGTGAAGATCAAAATCACCACTTCAAAAACCAGTTGAAACTAGTTTCAGTACGTGCGATCAGTCACAGCATTTTCACTATAAGCAGCAGAAATAATTTTGGCTGTTTCAAAAGTCTCTTTGTTTAAATGAAATACGAAATGTATCGCATATTGAATATGCTCCTTGTTGATAGCCATCATGAATATTACTGATTATTTGAGGTTATGTGCATCAAACATCAAATCATATGTAATTTCGAAAAGTTAAACGTCGACATTTTAAAACCGCAAAAAAGCGGGAGAATATTTCAATTTCAAAGTTATATTGAGTTGGGGAAAAAGTTTTTTCGTATTTTAGTGCAAAAGTGAAACAAGTTTTTTTCATTTTATAAATGAAGTTTATTAAACTAAATATGTGTCGTTTTGTTCGACCATCTTTTGCCTTTTTTGAGATAAAATCGTAATCTTATCACTACAAAACTTCTGTGATTTCTGGGTGAAAAACTGCGACAAGTAATTTTCACAGACCTCTTTTGAAGTCAACTTCATTAAGAGAGTTCCGTAGAGACCGAAACAAATGGTAGTCTGATGGTGCAAGGTCAGGATTATACGGTGGATGCATTAAAACTTCCCAGCCAAACTCTCAATTTTTGACGGGTTACCAAAGATGTGTGGGATCTGGTGTTGTCGTGATGGAAGATGACGCCTTTCCTGTTGATGAATTTTGATTGCTTTCTCTCGATTGCTTGGCGTAATCTTTCTAAATGTTGACAGTAAAGATTAGAATCAATCGTTTGACCGGGCGGCAGCAGCTCCTAGTGAACGATTCTTTTCCAATCTCACGACACACATAGCTTCACTTTTCTTGGCGTCAATCCTGAATTTGCCACCGTTTACGGAGCTTCACCTTGCTTCGACCACGATCTCTTTCTTACATTATTGTCGTATGTGATCCATTTTTCATCGCCCGTAATGAACCGTTTCAAAAATAGTTCGATTTCGTCCCGTTTTAGCAACGATTCGCGGAAATTCGATCCATTAAATTTTTCACTATTAAATCATGTGGCACTCAAACATCGAGTTTTTTTGTATTCAGCCTTTTCCAAATGATTTAAAACTGTTTTTTGGTCGATGTTTAGTTCCTTACTGATATCATGACTGCTGATGTGCCGGTCTTGCTAAATTTTTTCCATGATTTTATCGACTTTTCCAGTGATTAATCGACCAAAGCGAGGTGCATCTTGGACATCAAAATTTTCAGATTGAAAACGCTTGAACCAGCTTTGTGCCACACGTACTGATACAGCATCATGTACATAAATACCAAAAATTCTTTTAGTAGCCTGAGTCGCATTCTTCTCTTTTTTATAATAAAATTTCAAAATATATCGAATTTCTTCACTTTCATTCATTTTCAAGACTATAATAACTTATAATAACTTTTGCCTGAGTAAATAAATATCATAATTTTTTCTTTAATTTTTCTATGATATGTTACCTTTCAAATGCAGACAAGTATTGCCAGATCTGATTAATATTACCACAGTTATATGATCCTAAAGCCATCTACTGGGAGAATACGAAGAAACTTTTTCCCCAACCCAATATAAATATCATCGGAAAAAATTAACTACTAGATCTAATATTCCGATATTTATTATCATTATTAAAAATCATATTAAAAATAACTTAATTTAACCCTTTGCACTCGGATGTGCCCTCTGAGGGGACATCGTAAGTCTAGCAAACTACTCAGGTATCCCCTTTCAAGGGACATAAAGACTTTATTAGTGATTATATATGACAAGCTTATGCAAGCGTAAATTTTTGATACACACAAAGTCGAGTAACGATTCGTTACCGACTTTGTGTGTTGACGGAGGACCGTGCTCCGGCCCTAGTAATAATATATTTTGGCGGCGCGACTCCGTTGTGGGCGGACCCGGCGCGAGACAGACGCCATTTTGAGTATTTAGAGTCTCGCGTCGCATAAGAACGCGTGCTGCGATGCACGCACGGGCACGAGCCTACCACGCGTGCCATGCGTGTGTGCTACGTGAATAGAAACCGACTAAGATTGCATTACGTTGTGGAAGACTGTTCGCTGTCCAAACGATTGTTGCGGCTGAGGTCCAACCTTTGGCGAGCGATTTGCGATTAGCAGAAAATTTATATTAGCGTAAGACCGCCTTCGGACAAGGTGTCCGCGCCATGTGGATAGTGGGATTTTTTTATGTTAAATTTGGCGAAGCGTTGCGCGGCACCCGTTGGGCGGGTTGAGTCGACACCACGCGAGCGAGCGACGTAAAATTTATAAGACGAATCTCAAATATTATGTGTGTGTTGTTCCAAGCCACACGAGTAGAGTCAATTTATTTCTTTATCCGAGGCACCTTCGATGAAGCCTCTTAGCTCACGCTCATTTCCGACTTAAAATACGTCGTGTCCGCACGGGGCGGAGGCTGCGAGTCGATCTGAGAATTTTATGTTTAGCGATGGAAGTTTCCGATCTTCGGTCGTTGATACGGCCGTTTTCGTATTTGGCGCCCAACAATGGGTAGAATTTGGTGATTAGCGAATTGGATCGGATTGATGGCTCGAGCGTTTCGCTACTGGTGGAATTCTTCGACGCCTATTATTATTATCGAAATTACCGTCGCAGTAGGTGACGCGCGAGATGGCTCCGAGGGCAAAGGGTTAATTTAATAATTTATCCGTAATACATATTTGCAAACAGAAAATCAACAAAGATACTTGTGCCAAACTATTAAACACATTATTTTAAATGTATATTTTATGTTTAGTTTTTTAAAACAACACATTATTTTAAGTGTATATTTTAGGTTTAGTTTTTTAAAGCAAAATAAATTGCGAAAATAATTTGATTGATAAGTTAAAAAAATTAATGATAAAATTAATGGCTCACAGAGGCATAATAATTTAACGAAACTGTCGGAAGCATGCAGGGTACATTTACAGCTATTGGATACTGGCTGCGCAACACAGCGTGTAAGAAAATTTTCTGCAAACCGACCTCCCTGTTGTACCACATCGAGTCATATGCAGCGTGCGCAATATTGGTGCTCTAGAATGTCAATTTTTATGTTGTCTTAAGTGTTCTTCTATTTCGTTCGCGTTTATTATTGGGTGAGTGCAAAAGTTCGTGCGGAGTTTCAATAGATGGAGTTATAAGCGTCGTAAAGTGTTGTCATTAATACTTCCATCTACATATTATATAACGTTGGAAAGGTGACGTCTTCAGCTGTTATTAAAAAAAAAATCATTTGTTTTCATACAAACTGCTTCGAGAAATATCACTTTAAAAATGAGTATCGATAAGGTGCATTTACGGCATGTTATGCTTTACGAGTTTCGGAAGGGAATAAACGTTGCCGCAGCCGTAAAAAACATTCAGGATGTTTATCAGGATGAAGCACCAGCTAAACGAACTGTGGAAAAATGGTTTGCTAAATTTCGGCGCGGAGAATTTAACCTTGAAGACGAGCCACGCTCTGGTCGACCTTTTGACATTGATGACGATGTTTTGCGTACTTTAGTGCTCAATAATCCGCGAATTTCAACAGAAGAAGTTGCTACAGCACTAAACGTTGACCGATCAACCGCTTTTCGGCGTTTAAAAAAGATGGGATTCGATTTGAAGCTCGATATATGGGTACCCCATTTGCTGACCGAGAAGAACAAAATCAAGCGAATTTCTGCAGCCGTTTCTTTACTCGGGCGGCTCAATAACGAGTAGTTTTTGAATCGACTAGTGACGGGCGATGAGAAATGGGTCCTCTACAACAATGTTCAGCGCAAATGGACATGGAAACAATCAGGTGAGCATGGTGACGCAATGCCAAAGGCCAGTTTGCACCCGATGAAGGTGATGCTCTCTGTTTGGTGGGATTGCAAGGGCATAATCTATTTCGAGCTTCTCCCCGCTGGCGAAACGATTGATTCGGACAAGTACTGTCGCCAATTAACCAATCTGAATCGAGAAATAAAAGAGAAACATACGATTTTGTCAAATCGCAAGGGAGTCGTCTTTCATCACGACAACGCCAGACCACACGTTTCGAAAAAGACGCTGCGCAAACTGAAGAGTCTGAAATGGGATGTCTTAACGCATCCACCGTATTCTCCTGATATCGCACCATCTGACTATCACTTGTTCCGGTCATTGCAAAATTATTTAAATGGAAAAAACTTTGACTCTTTGGAGGCCTTAAAAAACGGCGTCTCTTCGTTCTTCGAATCTAAACCGCACAGTTTTTATGATCGAGGCATCCGTATGCTGCCAGAACGTTGGGAAAAGATTATAGAAAACGATGGAGAATATATCATTGATTGAATAAAGATTTTTGTTTGCCTAATCACTGTGTGACTTTTACTCACAAACTCCGCACGAACTTTTGCACTCACCCAATACATTTGTTACACAAACATAACTTACTGCGCTTAATAAGTGATCAGCTGGCCACGCGCACAGATATACTTTTGCGAGGGACGCAATGAAAAAGATTAAGAACGTCGACTTTACCGATATTGGTTGTCGCTATAAAAAAAGAAATTGGCAATTGACAATTTAAATCTGTGACACATTATGTTTTACCGAACGACATAGTGTTGTTGATCTCGATATCAATCTACATGATACATATGAAAATGATTTTCTGATGAAACAATGCGATTGAAATGAACGAAACTTATGTGAAAGAAAAATTGCGAGAATTTTATTTTTGATATTTAGTGAAACAAAAATTTTAAAAATGTATATTTCTGTTAAGTAATATTCTTTTGTATTTATACTATTTTGCTATAATTAAGATTATACTCACGCTGAGGAAGGTGCAGCCGGTAAAAATGATCACTATCGTACTAATAGCTAACGATGCTAATACTACGTAACGAATGGAGAGAGTCACTTTTCTTCCATATCTGAAAATAATAAAAAAATTTTTTTTCAATCAGAACGCCGTGAAGCCATTATTGAAATAAAAATAACAAAAAAATTGTTTTTATTTTAAGTATCAGTGAGAAAACTGAAGAATATCTCAATAATCTATACAAAATTTATGAGTCTTCCGTTTCCGGAATGAATGTGCGAGCGTGGGGATATAAAGAGTGTGTGGATGAGTATCTAAAAGAGAGAAAGGGAAAGAAGTAAAGAAAGCGAGAGGAGTACAGTGAGTGGAAAGAGAGATAGAGTGAGCGAAGGAGTGTGAGTGAAGCTGGGAAAAGTAGAAGAGAGAAGGATTTGGAGTGAAAAGAGTAAGAGGTAAAAGAAGTTAGGATAGAGGGAAGGACAGGACGGGTAGAAAGATCAAAGAGTATGAAATATAAGAGAGGAGAAAACTAGGGTAAAATAGAGGGGTAAAATAGGGGAAAAGAGCGTTAAGAAAGAGAGAACTAGACAGAAGTCATAGAAGAAGAGGCTAGTGAATAACTAGGGGTCTAGTGTTTTGCAACTAGGCAGAAGGAAGTTAGCGAAAAAAGAACATACAGCAGGACAGGAGGAAGAGCGGAAAATGGCGAAACGAAAATGAAAAACGAAATAAAAAATTAGTGGTGGAAGAAGGTGTAGAGGTAATTATAGATAGAGAGAAGAGGGGAAGTACGAAAAGCACGGGAAACACAAGAACTTATTAAGCTTTTTCTCTTCATCATCTCCCTTCTATTCTATCCATCCTTATCATCATTCTCTTTCTATCTCTTTTCTACCTCCTATCTTTTTACTTCTTTTACTTCCGCTATTCCCATATCCTTGATTACTTTCCCTTTTCCTCTTCATTATTGTATATCTTTTATTAAAAAGATATCCGCTAGCAGAGAAAATATGTGAAAGGTGATGTTCTAAAATGTGGCAGGGATAGAAAATAAGCATAAGGAGTTCTGAAGAAGATTAATAGAGTTGGATATAGTCATACTACCGGAAATATGGATGGACGCAAAGGGATGAGAAAGGTGGAGGGAGAGACTGCCAAAAGAATTTAAATGGAAGCTTGCTACAAAAAGAAGTAAAAAGGGGAGGTATGTTGATGGAGATAAAGAAGGTGAGATAGAGGAGGTAGAAAAGGAGGAGGAGGAGGTGGAAGAGCAGGAAAGAAAAATAAAGGGGATAATAAGAATAGGGAAGAAGAAATAGAGGATAATAGGGATATATGTGAATGGGGATCTGGAGGAAAATGGAAAGTGTAAAAAAAAATGGATGGAAGAAAGAGAGGAGGATAGGAGGACGATTATAGGAGGGGGGGACTTCAAAGCGAGAACGGGGGGAGTGAGGATGGTGGGAAAACAAAGACTGGAAAGAGGAAAAAGGAAGAAAATATCGAAATACAGAAAGATAAACAGAGAGGGAAGATGATTGATGCAGATAATAGAGGAAAGGTGGATGATTTTAAATGGAGGATTTTAAATGGAGGGGGGATGAGAAAGGAGGTTTTATTTACATGTGGGAGGGGAGGAGAAAGACGGTAATAGATTATATATTAGGAAACGGGGAGGTAATAGAGGAGATAGAAAGAATGGAAGTAGGAGAGGAAGTCGACTCAGACCATCATTTAGTAGGCATATGGATAAAAGGTAAAGTAGAAAGGCAGAAGAAGAAGGAGGGACCGAAGAAAGAAAGAGTAGAGGAAAGTAGGATAAAGAGGGCAGAGTTCTAAGTTTTAAGTTAGGAATAAGTTAGTGTTATAAAAAATCGGAAGAGGAGGATGCGTGTACGTGCGTGCGTGTGTGCATGCGTGCGCGCGCCCGCGCGCGTGTGTGTGTATATATATGTGGTTAGGGAAAAGCGATAATAGTATGGCGTTGGTAGTATGTAAGAAATTATTTAGAATTGTTATAATAGAAATTACAACCCCGAAATGGAGAAACAATAAACGTTTATCTATCTATCTGTACAAGATTTATGATATTAATGCACTTTAAGTATATGACGTTGATTAATTATTGATATTTAAAGAAATAAGAGGAACAAGAGAATGAAGCTGATTAAATCTTTGATAAGGAGTTTCTTAATTATCGCATTGTGCGATATCGTGGACTGCTCCAACGATTCATCCATTAATAGACTTTCTCTCTCTCTCTCTCTCTCTCTCTCTCTCTCTCTCTCTCTCTGTCTCTCTCTCTCTCTCTGGTTACTCACCTTAACAACTCTTGATGCTCTATTAGGCACGCGCGCAATTCTTCGAATTTCGTTACTGCTCGAAATCGTCCGGACAGTATGTCACACCTTGCTGAGATAAACCATAAGAGAAGAGCAACGAAGATGTTAGAGCATACTTGCGCGTAACTTTGATATAAGAGTAATATGTGATGTAAATAAATGATCGTCTTCATAGGTTGATAATCGACGTCAAATGGGTACTCGATGTCGATGGGGAACGGATGAGGTTCCACGAGAGGGCTGATGATAATTAGCAGACCGGTAATAGTGAAAGCACACATCGAGCCCACATAAATCAATTTGCAGCTATCGATATAATGATGAAAGACCGCTTTTTCTTCTGGTTTTGCCCGTTTGCAATAATTCTCTAATTCATAAATCACATACTGCAATTGAATCGTGATCGTCGATTAAGCAAAAACATGTTCGTAGAATACGAATTTGGATGAATAAATAATTAAATGTACTGTGTTTGGATAATATAATACAAATTTAACACATCATTGACCGATTGTAAAAAAATAATTCTTAATCAAATTGTTTTATGTCCGATAACTTTCTTCAAAATGGCGGTTGATGAAGCGAAAGCAAGCACAATTGGAAAATAATGGTCCGCGTTTGCGACGGCACAAATCGAAAGTTAAGTCTCGCGACTCAATCGGATAAAAAGCATGTGATAGTACAGAGTCTTCTCTTTAAAATGCTTTTTTAATCGTGCGGATATAATGATTTTTCGCCGAATTATTCACATTTGAAGAAAAAGCAGTGTTTTACTTTAAATGCGAATTATTCGGCAACAAATCATCGTATCAAAACGATTAAAAAGCATTTTAAAGAGGAGATTTTATACTATCACATGCTTTTTATCCGATTGCGTTATGACACGTGACTCTCGCCATGTGCCGTGGCAAACTGGGACAAATATTTTTCAATTTCGCATGTTCTCGCTTTGTCATCCGCCATTTTTAATAAATTTTTCTCGCTATATTAAAATAAATCGATTCTTTAATTAGCGATTCCAAACTTTATTTTCATTTTTCAAAGACCTTTCTATCTTTATTATTTACCAAATTATGATCATTTGAAGTTTGGTAAATTTTTCACACATTTTAAGTGTACCACTTTTTTTTGGAGTAAGTGTATATACAGGGTATATAAAAAGTACCGGGACTGTGAAATATCACAAAAACTAAGCATTTTAGAAAAAAATGTTTCAAATAAAAATTGTAGGGTTTTAAAAAATCTATTTACTGGCATTATGAGTTTGACCTTAGGTGGCGTCGGACAGAATGATTTTACGGGTGTTTGAGAAGAATCCTCGTTTATCATTGCGTGGCGGACAAACGATTTTGCATGAAAAGGGTTTAAATATATCATGTGACACTATAAGAAAATGTTTACTAGCTCACGAAGTGAGATTTCGAAGCACAATAAAAAAACCGGTACTGTTCGAAAAATACGTCGAAAAAAAACTTGCTTAAGCGAAAGAAAATTTAAACCGCTATTAGGACAATGTAATTTTTTCGGACCAAGCTTCTTTTTGGGCAAATTTTTCTATCAATCATGCCTGGTCTACCCACGCCAATAGACTCGAATGTAAACACAGAAACACGGCTTCGTAACGTGATGCGTATGCGGCTCTCATGATGAAATATGTCCTTCTGTAACCAAGGACGAACGACTAAGGCTTTCTATATAAAACATCTTGAGAGAAGAGTCCCGCTACCTGCTCACGTTCAAATCCCCCCTTTAATGTTTTCCAGAAAAAAGTTTCGGCGTATACGCTCTTGTCAAACAGACTATATATGTTAGGTTCCTCCGTTAGTACTACTGTTTTAATATATTACTTCTTGTGTACAGTGTTTTGTGTAGAGTTTTAACCAGTTCACTGGTGAGTTCAAATCAACGTTTTGTGCCAAAACTGGTAAGAGCGAATAATATCGTATTTTATATGTAAGCTTATTTATAAAAAGTTTTTTGAGTCGCTGATTATGAATCCGGAGTCAAAACTTTAAAATTCAAAATGGCAGATCCAATATGGCGACTTCAAATTGTTAACTTTGATATGATATGGATATATATCAAACTCGGTATATGTATGTTTTATCGATCATAAATAAATACAGAGTCGAAATTTAAAAAATTAAAATGGCGGATCCAGCATGGAGGTTTTAAGTGGCTAACTTTGATATTCTGTTATGAAAATGTATTATACTCAATATGATTTTTTGGTCGCAGATAACAGATTAGTGCAAAACATTCAAACTTTATTTTATTTTGACTATGCACTTAAGATTGATATGATATCTGTTCCGTACGGCTATAAGAAATAAAAAAGTAAAAAAACAAAAAATAAAAAAACAAAAGAATTAAAATTAAGAAAATAAAAAGAAATAGAAAAATAGAATGTAAAATCCTACCATAGCCTCCACGTGGCGCACTCTGGGGTCGTGATATTTCACCAGCTAATATGGAGGGAAAAGTATATACAGAGTGTCCCAAAACTCATGATTACCCTTTCGGGGGCTGGTAACGGGTGGAATTTGTAACCGAAAGTTCCTCTTTCACTTTATGATCAGACAATTAGTTAACGAGTTATTAACTAATTAATTTGACCAATGAGAGCGCTCGGCAGCTGGGTATGCAGTGCAGTGACGTATTCGGAGGTCGTCGGAAATGGGAAATTGGAAATAAATGAGGAATTTTATAGATGGATGGCTGGGTGGGTAGTTGGGGGATTGTGTGAATTGGTGTGTGTGTGTGTGTGTGTGTGTGTATGCGAATTTTTGTACACACTTTTACACAATGCAATGAAAACATATGTACGAAGAATGAATCATTTTTTGTTTCATTCTTTTATTTACAAACAAGAAGCTTTGAAAGGGGCTGTTTTTATTGAAGCGCTGGCTTGAAATATCCTCCCTCATTGACGATGCAGGCGTGGACCCAAAGAACCCCCACGCGGATACGCTGCAACATCTCTGGGGTGATCATGGCGATCGCTGCGTGTAAACGCGCCACCAAGTCTTCCGGATTCTCCGGTGGATCGGCGTACATCTGGTCTTTAATGTAACTCTAAAGGAAAATCTATTGGGGTCAAATCAGGAGACCTAAAAAATTCAATTTGTTCAATTAAAAAATAATAATAATAGTTATTCAAATTTAAACAGTTACCGAGGTGCCTAACGATATAGTCCATAAATACCAAATCAATATCGAGGAAATTGATCGTTGAGATTGGCTTGTGCACTAAGTAAAATGTGGGGAGGTGCTCTATCTTGCACGTACCACAATAGTCTCTCTGCAAGAGGGACTTCTTCCAGAAGTTCTGGAAGAATTTCCTCTAATAATGTTGCATACTGATGACCCTGAAAACCAAATAAAAAGTGAAAAACATAATTTATTATTCTAAAAATAATAATACATTGGAAACATCGGGCAGCTGATAAGGGAACACGCGGTCTCCAGCGATGCCTCTCCACACGTTCACCTTCCATCGCTACTGAAAAGCCCTGTTCCGTGTTACAAAAAGATTTTTTTCAGCATAATAATTATGCTGGTTGAATATCCCTTCTTTTGTGAACAGACATTTATCTGTTTACAAAATATGGGTCAGGAAGTTTTCGCGTCGGCCATTAAGACGGAGGAATTGCTCACAGAACTGCATATGCAGTTTTAGATTTCCTGCATGGAGCTTTTGCACTGGAGTAAAATGGATGATAGGAGGGTTGATAATAAAACTCGATTAATCGATGACTTTGAATAGCCAGTAACTCTTGCAAGTTGCCGACAACTCGCCATCGGATTCTCCTTCATCCGTGCCAAAATATCCTCTTCCATTGCAGGATCTCTGGGGGGGATCTTCACGAGAACATCCTCCACGACCACACGGTGTAAGGCAATTTTCCATACGTAAGCGATGATCCAACTGCCGGAACATCTTGCGTACTGATGCTGACGATTTGGAAATCGTTCAGCATATAGCCGCGCTGCAGCCCTTGAGTTGCACCTGCACTCTCCGTAAATGAGGTGCATGTCCGTGTATTCTTCGACGGTGTATGTACGTTATCGTGTAATAAATGAACTTAATTGTCTCACGAACTTACGAGGAATAACTTCGTTTATTATGAAAATCTCTTTGCTCTCATTATTTTGATATTGTTTATTTCTTTTTCATATTGTTTTGGTTTTCACTACGTGGAAATAAAAAATTTGAAATTGAGAGAAAGAAATAGCTAAATGAGCACAAAATGAAAACAAAGGTGTGCGAATTTGTAAACAAGGGAGATACGAAGGAACAGTTCCTTGCTTGTAAATGAGAGAAAGGAATAAAATATGATTCATTTTTCGTACACATGTTCTCATTGCATTGTGAAAAAGTGTGTATAAAAATTCACACACATGCGCGCGCGCATACGCCACGCACAAGTACACACGCACACACACAGACATACCGACTCACACAATCCTTCAACTATCCATCTAGCCATCCACCCATAAAATTCCTCATTTGTTCCCAATTTTCGATTCCCGAAGACCTCCGAGCATCCTATGGCACTGCACGCCCAGCGCCGAACGCTCTCATTGGTCCAATTAATTAGTTAATAACTCGTTAACTAATTATCTGATCGTAAAGTGAAACAGGAACTTTCGGTTACAAATTCCATCCCCTACCAACTCCCAAAAGGATAGTTATGGGTTTTGGGACATCCTGTATAATGAAATACCGTTAATCACTAGAAGTAAAAATATTGGTCTGCCATATTGGATCCGCCATTTTGAATTTTTTAATTTCGACTCTGTATTTATTATCTGTGATCGATAAAACATACATATACCAAGTTTGATACACATCCATAATATTATATCAAAGTTAGCCATTTGAAGTCGCCATTTTGAATTTCTCAAATTTGACTTTAAATTAGTTAGTGACCCAAAAATCGTGGGAATACTGAGTTGTATGCAAATCCGTTGAAAATTGGCAGAATTATTCAAAATGGAAATACTCGTATATGGGCCATTACCAGAAATGTCACTGCTTTTTTTAGACATATATGGGCCATTACCAGTGAACTGGTTAATATTATGTTATAAGTTTTACTTGTAAAAACTTATATTACATATATACATATCTCAAAAGAAAAAATAATTTGAGTTTGAGATTTCTAAAAATAACATAATACGTGTTATGCGTGTACTTGGCGCCTTTTTTTACTTATTTGTTTAAAAAGGTAAGTTTTATATTCTTGATATATATATATGTATATATATATATATATATATATATACAGGGTGTTTGAAAGCTTATCATGTAGACGAAAGTTGGAGATAGATTGGGTGTAGCCGAGAAGAAAAATCATGTACCATAATGTCAAATTGGCAATAGTTATCGAGTTATTAATTGAAACATGTGAGCCAATGAGCGCGTAGAGAACGCTGGGCGGCCGCGGTAAGCATGTAGACATTTGGTATAGGCGGAGTCAACGAGCGTCGATAGGCGAGCGCGCGCAGCGAGGGGCAACCATAAGCGACAAGAGGCGAGCGCGCGCGACGAGGAGCAAGCAAGCACGAACGACGAGCGAGCGAGCGCAAGCGACAAGAGGCGGCCGCCCAGCGCTCTCTACGCGCTCATTGGCTCACATCTTTCAATTAATAACTTGATAACTATTGCCAATTTGACATTATGGTACATGACTTTTCTTCTCGGCTACACCCAATCTATCTCCAACTTTCGTCTGCATGATAAGCTTTCAAACACCCTGTATATCTCTCTCTCATCTTTTTTGTAGTTAAATGAGTTTTACTTGTAAAAACTTATGTACAGTAAAACAGTGTTTTTTGTAGAGTTTTATTATAGTTATAAGTTTTATTTGTAAAAGCTTATGTTACGTACATATATATCTTGAAGAAAAAATAATTTGATTTTGACATTTCTAAAAATAACACATCTTGAAGAAAAAATAATTTGATTTTGACATTTCTAAATAATACATGTTGCGCGCGTACTTGGCATCTCTTTTTACCTTTTTATTTAAAATATAAGATATTTGCCTGATTTTAGTCTAAAGTTCAATATATTTCAGATTCGTCGAAATTAGACAGGAATATTATTATGGATTTTCTTATAGATAAGTTGTTATAACTGAGAGATTCGACAATAACGGGACACAAAGCAAATCTGTTGTCATTGTCTTGGAAATAGAAAGAAAGAGAAAATATAAAATAAAAAATATCACTTAACTCCATTATTTTCCAATTAATATAATATTCGAAATGACGCTGTTTATCATTGGCTGCTTACTTGTAGTCGATTATATTGTATTGAAAAGCACATAATCTGCAACGGAACCTCGGAGGTAGTGCAGAGCTCGCAGCATAATTTCATTATGAGAAACACATCCGAACTGTTAATATAAATGGTATATATAATCGTGACCACCATGATCATGCCGTGCAACACGGACAACCAACGAAATATCTTATTGCGTATTCTCTCGTATTTCGTAGCGGTCGGCGGTAGCGGCCAACAACAGGCAAACATCAAATCCACTTTTAAAAATGCGATGAGCTTCTCCATTGTTAGTATGACAGCCATGAGAACAGTTGCTAAAAACGTTCGCACCTTTACTGTCTATGATATTATGAATGACGTACATACGTATCACATGCGACTCGAATCACTCTTTGAGAGCTTTTAAGAAAGGGAGAAAAAGAGATGAAACAGCGGATGCATGCCGCAATGAACGCATGTTTAATTTACAACTCTGAGGCACACCGCATAAGAGGAAACATGTAAATTTCTCGGGCACGCGTAATTCCTTCGGCCATTATACATTACGACTTCGCAATTTAGAGCAGCATGCACCGCAATTATAGACCGCAGTATAAAAGCATGAGTTATTCAATCGGCGTGAAAAATATATGAACACTCTCTTGCTTATAATGGCACAATCACTTTCTTATCCCCTCGGTAATGTGATAAGTTACTGTTATGTTACATCCTGGAGGAGGAGTGCAACTTATCCGTTCGCGGAAAAGGGCGAACCTCGATCGTACACGCGTGCCAGGGAGCAGGTCAGAAATCCAACGGGTTGCTTTACTCGCTCGCTGACGTAGACGAGTGGTCCGTATTTTCGGTCAGGAAAACGAATTACTTTACCGAGCACAAGACCATGAGCCGATTGTTGGAAGGTAGGGTAGAAGGATGATTTGGAAATTAATTATGAAGAAATGGGTTATTAACAAAATTTATTAAAAATAGGGTAACAAGCGGAAAGTAAATAAGTATACAAAGTTTTAGACGCGATATATAACTTTACACTAAAGCGATATGTGAATATGTATATGTGTGCGTATGTGTGGGAAATATTGACGAGGGAGAAAGGAGAAGGAAAACGAATATGGAGAAGTCTGGTGAGGGGAGACGAGAGTGGTCCGGTGAGCTGAGGGGAGTGAAAAGTTGAGAGAGAGAGAGGGGAGGCAGGGGGAAGACGGAGAGAGAGGGAGAGGGGGAGGGGAGAGAGAGAGAGAGGGGGAATATAACAAGGAGGAAGTGGGTAAACATGTGGGAGAGGATGGAGGGGAAGAAGAATTAAGGGTTATGGAAGGATGTAAGGAGGAATAAATGGGAGCGATGGATCTGGGAGTGATAGTTGGGTTCTTAAGGCAATATTAATTATGGCTCGGAGATATTGGGCAATTGATTGTAGATCGTTGTGGTCGTCCATTTCAAGAATTAAACCTATGGAGTTGAGGACTCGGTCGAGGACTTGATCGTTATTTTAGAGTTAGAGCAATGGAACTGAAACCGGATTTTAATATAAAGAAGAAATATAAATAAAGGTTTAATTAATGAAAGGAAAGGAGAATATAAGTGACTTATTGTTACTTTTAAAGTGTATGATAATAGAGTGTTGCTGATCTAGGTTAGATTGATGACCCTTGATTCACGCCAAGAAGTGGATTGCGTTTTGTTGGGTCGGTTTATTAATCACGGTTTGTCCAATCACGATTGTGCACAAGTTATGTTGCATGGAATAGTTATTCAATGACATTAAGTAAAAGGAATAAAGATCGTAGAAAGACTAAGAAGAATTCTGCGTCCGGAGGTGAATTGTCGCGATTTTTATACGGATAGTCGAAGACAGGAGGTACCAAGATGAACCTATTAAAGGAAGAGATGGGCTTCAGAGACAGGGTGGAACTCTGAGGGAAATGATGTCGAAAATCTGATTAGCATTTTTAATTATTGGTCCTGATCAATCTTAGTGGGAAAAAGTCTTAACAATTAGAAATGAAGGGTGAGGTTAAGAATATCTGGTAGGAGGAGACGGTTTGTTCTTGAAGACATGGATCTTTAGGTATAGATGAAATAGGAATAGTGGAGAGTGAATGTGTCTCATAGTTTTGGGCGGGAGTCATGATTGGCCAAATAAATTAGATATCATAAGTGCGGTGGTGGTGGATTCTTGTGGAGTAAAACGCAAAAAGATTTTATGGAGTGAGGAGGTATGTACGAGTACGAGAGCATATGAAGTGGTATTTTGGTCACCCGGAAGAGTCAGGATGCCATAAATCTTGGGTTGAAATAGAATTTTATGACGACCGATGAAAAGATGGTGGCGGGTTATCTGATGACCGAAACTCTCTTGAGTTTCATATAACAAATTGCTTCTCAGTTCTTCTTCGATTGTTTGACTAATAAGGTCTTAACTCCTTCCATGGCAGAGCAAAATTCAGTAAAATGTACTGAAACCGCCTCAAAAAATAACGGGGCGGATTTTTTCAATAATTTGTATACTTCAGTTTTTTTGGTCACTGAAGCCGAATTTGAGGTCAAAATATAGAAATTCAAAATGACGGATCGAATATGGCGACTAAAATGTTTAGAAATGCTTAATATTATTAAATAAAAGTAATTGGTCATTTCTCAAGTTACTAAATTAACGATTTTTATATAAAATCACTCTTAACGCTCTTACTGCTCGTTGCGAACTGACTCGTTCGCTGTTCGCTCTTCGTCGTACATCCTCTGCTTTTTGGTATTACCGAACACTCGGATTCCTTTAGGCGCTGCGGTCAAACGACGCCGAACGTCGCGCGAAATCCATTGATGACGCCGCTGCCCTGTTCTAACGACGCCGATCCCTCCATTGGACGCCGCGGTCTCTCCTCAGTTTCTCCCTTTCACCCTTTCTCACTCTCACACATCCCGTGTGTGAAAAAAAATTTACAATTTTCCGACATTTTAATTTGATTATATTATAGTTTTTTTTATTAATAAATTATAAAAAATAAGTTGAAATTCGTAATCAGCAACCCAAAAAATACTTGATAAAAATTCTACGACAATAGTTATTACACTTAAAATTCAATACAACACGAAAATGATCTGGACGCACCGGTACGTCCGTGCCACGGAAGGGGTTAAGGGTTAAATGCAAGTACACTTGTGATGGTAACAGGACGCCGGTTACCTCAGTTTTGTTTGAAAAGGCTATACATGCATTTAGCAACAGATCATTTACATGAGCGACACGGTATGATGAGTATCCGTATAGATTTGAAACTAAGAATTGTTGCTGTGCTTGGTATCGACCAAGCACAAAATTCTACTAAAGGAATGATTGTGGCTGAAAGCAAGCGCAGATGTGGCTTGTGTCCAAGAAATTCTGACAGAAAAACAAAATATTTTTGTTGTTCTTGCGAACGCTATATGTGCGACCAACATTGCACAGGTTCGTACGTTAAATGTGCGGGAATAGATTCAATTTCTCTAAAATAAAATTAGTTTTCTGTTTTAAAGTATATTTTGTACTTAAATAAACTGTTAAACATCAAAAATGTCTTTTATATCAATAATAATCATGAATATTTGAAATTTCTTGGAGTTCGATTTTTTCAAAAAATTCCCTGCTTCGTATCTCAAAATAAATACCGTTTTTTAAGCACACGTATCCAAACCAATTTTTTCTTGAAAATATAGCATTTGAAGAATACAACCTCGAAAGAATTATTTAAAAAAAGAATATTTAAAAATACTAAAAATTATATGAGATATGATTTTTTTTTATAAAAAATGTCATTTTTCGCGTTTTTTTCCTTTATGGTTTCTTTTCATTATATTCGTATTAAAATTATTCGAAAAAAGCTGTTGCCTTTTATTTTAGAAAGTTTTAAAAACATCCTCAATTTTTTTTAATCAAAATATCCAATAGAATAAGCGTGGTGGCAGTTTTAATCGTTGGGGTCCAACGGACCTCCTGTATATCATATTAAATTATTCGGAGATGTGTATGGATTAATACTAATTATGTCTGAATTTACAACATGTCAACAACATGCCTACAATTTGTAACAAAGCTTTAAAAAGGTGCCGGCGACAGCCAGTAGTTTTTGATATTGTACGCCGGCGGCAAGGATAAACTTTTTCGTGAAATGTGCGGTCGTCAAAATATTAAGATAATCTACATTAATTTAAAACATTTGTCTATTTCATTTGCCATACAGAAAAAAAATATAAAATATTATATTATATAAATATATATTATATAAATATAATAAAATATATTATATAAAATAAAATATTAACATGTGATTTATAAAATATCTTATTTTAGGTTCTGCACATTTTTTGGAAAAAAAATTATGACGTACATATATCTAAAATTTAAATTATATGAGTTGATTTAGGAATAAAAAGAAACATAAGCTACTTTGAAAATCTGTTAGAAATTAGATCAAATGAAAATTTCCCAATTGCTGAAACAAAATCTGATACTTGCAATGACTTTTTCACATTTCGTTATCAAATAAGCAATATATTCAAAGAAGAACTACAGAAGTTTTTCAAAGCAAACGATTGAAATGTAGACATTTTAATTTATTATCCAAAAATTAAAAAAAATTTATATACAATATAATACATCATTCACAAGCAGTGGATCCTAATGTCGATAATGGGAAGGGGGGTTAATAAAATTGTAAATACATTAATGTAGCTTTAAGGTTTTTTATAATCATTAATAGACTCTCGGCAAATAACAGCGGACATTGTATATCAGAAATCGGACAGTTTAGATGCAGTGAATCCTAAATATAAGAATTTAATTCATGGGCGGCTGTGTTAATCGGCCTGTGTTAATCGGCCTATCATTTTACCTAAATTTCTTAAACAGATCTAGTAAGACTGATTTTTTTTAATTTGGAAGGGGGGTTTTAACCCCAAAACCTCCCCTTAGAATCCGTCAATACCCACAAGTAATGAACGCTCATTGGAAAAATAGTTTTCATATCACAAAAAACACACTAAAATGATGATACCATAATAGAGCATCGGGTTCTTTTGAAATTTAATAAATAAATTTTGTAATATTCGACTTTTTATTTTCTTAGATTCTATATCTCTGTTAATTCTGTCCAAATTCTATATTTTAAATAAATCTTTCCTTCTTTCTCTCCCTTTCCTTTCCCCTATAAAAAATCATTAGTCTTATTTCAGCATTTACATAAAGTAACGAGAAAAATAACGATTCGTTATTTTTTAAATAATAGTAATTGTAACGGTTTATTTTGCAGAACTTATTCCAAACAAATTACGCTTTAAAAAAGAATAATGATAATAATAACAAGTTACTTTTATAAAATAACTTTCCTAATCCTATGTTTCACTTAGATATACATAATGTAAACTCTACATCTATTAAAATAGCATCGCTCTAATAATAGCATTTGGCACTTACATGTCTAGTAGGATTTAACTGATCATATATCTTAAAAGCTTTTACAATTTAATATTTAAGATTAATATCCTATATATTGTTACTTTCTACTACTCTATAATAAACATGAATAGTTCTTGTTTAATTATTCTTGTTGTCAAAAACTGCGTAAAATTATCAGTAATTTAAATATATTGATATATTTGTGAATCCTATCGCTTTTCAAGTATTCTTAAAAAGAACACTATTTGCTTTCATGGAAATTGATTTCTAACCATTCATTCCAACACCATATGTACCTTAGAATATTATATACGCAAACTTTTATACTGTTATGTTATTAAATTCGTAATTATTGACATATGTAGATGATACATATGTAGATCACATGCTATATATAAACATTTGTGTTCTTTTCTGTCCTATAATTTTTTCTTAATTTTTATTCTACTCTTTTCATCTACATTCCAATAGTAGAAAAGTTGTGCTACTATTATACCATTTGCTAATGTGGAACATGTGTACATTATTATAAGAGTTGTATCACCTGTTTCTTGGATGGAAGTGAAAATTCTTGCAAGGGAACCAAAAAATAGCATGAAAATTGTTGCTGCAGATAACTGACCAGTACTTCCATTTGAATAATTTGTCCAGGCTTGCATGAGCTATAAATTTTATAAAATCATTCATTGTATATTTGTATATTATTTCATTAGTGTATTTGTAAAATAATTGATATATCAAAATATGAATTAAAACATGAAAAAAATAACAAAAATGTTCAAAAGAGTTAAAAAAAATTGGTAATTTTGTTAATTAAATTATATACCTTGCTAATAAGAACAATGGGTATGTTTATTGTTTGACATGCCCAGAGGATATAGACTGGTGTTACCCCACTATTAGCTGCAAAAACTACTGCTATATAAGCAAAAAGAGAGGCTGTTGCTTTTGTTGTTTCTCCATTATAATGCATTACTAAAACTGCAATGGCTAAAGTTTGAAGCCCTAAAAATACCCCATCGCCCCAGGCACTGAAATTATAAAACTATATTTCATAACATTTCCTATGATAAGCAAAGTTTTATATACATTCTTTTACCATTAATAAATTATTTAATATTTATGCAAAATAGGGCTAACCTCACAGATTTCAATGACCTTGAAGTATATGAGAAAGTATATGTGGAGATAATTACATATTTTTGAAATAAAATTAAAAGTCGTTCATCATTTATAACTATATCATATTAAAAATATTTAAAGTTAAGAACTTTAAACTAAGAACCATGATTTTAACAATTTATATTAAGAGATTAAAATTATCTTATAAAAGATCTTATAAAAGAGGTTAGGTAATCCAGAAATTCATAAAATTGTGAAACTTTACAAGCAGAATGATTTATCAGAATACAAAACTATTTTTCGTTCGTACTATATTTGAGGGGGTGAAATCATTCCTTGAAAAAGAATCTATTTTTTTTTTTAAATAACTGCCGAACGGTGAGAGATACCAAAAGTGAATTTAAACAAAAGTCGTATCTTTGTTTTATGTCTACAAAACTATATAAATATAAGTATTGAAAAATTTATATTTCTCGAGTTATCCTGTTTAACTATTTAGCAATTATCCTGTTTAACTATCTAACTATTAGAAAACCATACAAAAAAGAAGATAATGTTAAAATAGAGTTTTATGCAATATCTTATTTATTATACGGTTTATAAAATAATTTAATAAAATAACACCTCAAGTAATATATATGTTACTATTGTCATGATCCATCATTGATTAGTTTTAATTAATATTGGTCCATATTCTGAATTCTCTTTCATCACTAAAAGTGACTCTAAATGTGGTTTATAGCCAATCAGCAGGCTTATAAGCCATTTTTCTAGTCACTTTTAATAATAAAAGAAAGTTCAAAATATGAGTCTTTATCTTTTATATAGTTATAAATATATATTGACTTGCTTAAATAATTGATAGTTGTGTGAAATTTATATTAATAATAATTTAAATATTACTTTATAAAACTATTTTAATAATTAAAACTACTAAAACATAATTAAAAAATTCGACGTTTTTTTTTTAAATGGAGTACATAAATCGATTATGATATATGAAAAGAGGTTATGAGGTGAAGTATTATCATATAAATTTACAAAAATCTTACAAGAAAATTTCCAACTCAATTTTAATAGTTGGCAATGAAGATAACTTGAAAAATATGAATTTTTCAATATTTACTTATACCTTATATTTATAGCCTTATAAAGATAAAAAAGAGATGCAATTTTTGTTTAAACTTTTTCTCTTGAAATTTCTCACCATTCAGCAGTTATTCCGCAAAAAAATATCAAAGAAGTAATTTCGTCCCCTCAGATTGTAATATACAAAAAATAATTTTGTGTTAAAATGCTAAACATTTTTCTGTATATTTTTCCACATATCTCGTGACAAAAATTCAATAATTGTAGTGCAAGTTCAAGTTTACACTCAAGGAACTAAACGAGGTGTTAAAAAAGAAAAGGATTCTACATTTATATAGAATAAATAATACTCATTATACTAAGTAAAAACATCTGTTAAAATATCAACTTTTTCAAAGTTATAAATGTTTTTTTATTTTGATAATGCAAATTAATTGTGTGCTTCTATTGACCATGCACAGTAAGTAAATAAACGAATATCTTATCATATTATTTCATTATTGTTTTATTTATAATAAACATTCTATATGTATTCCTTCCATTTCTATATACACTTAATATCTTCAAATTATAGAATTACAAACTATATTCCAAAAACTCCTGGTCTTCTTCAAATCTGGTCAACTGTATTTTGAATTCGATGATGTAATTCTTGTAATTTAATATAATATAGTAAGATAATATAATACGATATTCGTTCATTTATTCATTACATATGATCGATAGAAGAATACAAATAACTTGCATTATCAAAATTGGAAAATGTTTATAATATAAAAAAATTTGCAAAACTATGTTCTATTAAATAATCTAAAAGTTTCTCATAATCACTATAAATCCTTAAACTCATATAGCTTCATTTCACATTATAGTCTTTATTACTTCACTATATAACTTCAGTATATTAGACTAAAAGCAAATGTACAAAATAGACAGATTATTACAGATATCAGGTTGTGAAAAATATAAATAAAAAAATAAAACAATATTCCATATGCTGTAAATATATGCAAGTATGTTACTATGCATAGAAGCTGTAAACCTATACAATAATAAAATATTATAATTCAGTTTTCTACCAAAGGTATATTGAAAATTAAGGTCACAGAACTTTTATTTTTTTATCTGAAATATTTAATATGTGACAATCACTCTTTAATATACTTTAAAATCATTGAAATTGATCAGGTATTGAAATTGATCAAAACATATTCTGTATAATTACTAATTATTTTCTTACCTAAATGGAAATCCATTGATAAAACTATAAGATACCATTGCAGTAATGGCAAATAAATCTAACAATACACTAAAGATATTGATTCCTTCCCCACTCTTGTTTTGGAAAATTTTTACAATTTGTGGAATTTTTACTAAAAGATAAAAATACATTTATATAAATCAGTATAACTTAAATACGTTATTGTATAAATTTGCAATTATAATTTTAAAGCAAACTTTAAAACCAACACAAAAAGCAAATATTATGTATATATTATATAAAGCAAATATTATATATAAGCAAATAATATATATGTGTACATAAACATAATGCATGCGTATATAAAATTATAATTGCAAATTATAATTTTAAAGAAAATTTTAAAATTTTTGTATATTTTATTTAAAAGAAACAATTATATTCTAACCAAGGAGGGAACCTCCAATGATACACAGGCCTAAAATTTTACTCAGAGTTGCTTTGAAGCATCCAACTGTAACATTAATATATATGTGTGTATATATATATATATAAGATAATTATATTTTACTTATAATTATATTTTATAAAAAAAATTGCATTTACTTACATAATGAAAACAAATGAATTATATTATTTTTAAAATATGGCTGAATATTTAAGTTACATAGGATTTACTTTTCCAAATAACCATGAAATTAATTTACCATGAGAAAATATTTTTATTAATTTATTATAATATAAATGATAACTATAAATAATTTATCATAAAACATATTTTTGATCTGTATAATTTTCAGTTTAATAATTTTAAATATCATTCACATGGCTATCACAAATCATGTTTTTATTATACTAATTTACACCAATTATTTCATATAAACACCAATATTAACTTCATACTAACTTAAATAGTATATTAAAAAGTGGTCTATTTCTACCTGCATGATTTAAAATTTGTATAATTTCTTATAGTTGGCTATAGAATTTTGATAATATCTGTTTGTTATCAAAGTACAAGAAAAACAAATAAAAACCCTAAAGAGAGAAATAGACTATTCATGGCTCCTATTTTTTTCTTCAAATACAGCATGATTCCACACAAAAATAAATACAGAAATGTTGTTTATGTTGTCTATGTTGTCACTAAGATACTTTATATGCTTTATTAAATAAAAATCATCTTACTTTTTATTTATTGTAAGTTACAAGTGTAGGCAAGATAGCATATGTCTTAAGTATATATTATTTGTATGACAAAATATTGAAGCCCAAAGATCATCTTCATTTTCTATCTCCTCACAATCTGATGACAGCAATTACACAAATACCAATCTTCGAAGATATTCGAAAGAATATGTCCAGGAAGCAATATTGCTAGATATATAGCATATCTGAAGAACTATAATTAGTGACATAAGAACAATATCAACCATGTAACAATCAATATTACACGTACAAATGTGACCAATACATAAAATCAGAATGATTTTTTTCCAATAAAATGTATACAAAGTATTTTACTTCAACAACACATTCCCTATATTCATTTTTGTGACGAGTCATGCTGTATTTGAAGAAAAAATTAAGATCATAAATGATCTATTTTTTAAGTTTTTACTGATTTTTCTCATACTTCTCATACTTTCTCATATTTTAATAACAAAAGGATATTATTATGTAATTCTACGTCAAATAATTTTCCAAAAAATTGTAAAAAATCATGTAAATTTTACATGCCAACTTGAGGGAAAAAATAGACTTTTTAACATACCTTTCAATAATATATATCAACAATGATATATTTTTGGTCTGATATAATACACATAAAGATATATTATAATAATTTAATACACTATTATTTAATCATCAAATAAAAATATATTTATACATATTAAACAATTGAAGTAAACAAGATAAGTGTTACTGCTACAAACGTACCATGAAGAAAATTAAATTCATCAAAATACTTTTCTGCACACTCTTCCGTAAATAGTAATAACGCCACATTTTTTATTAACCGAATCATATCGTTACAATTCATACTTTGTTCTTTAACAATGTTTTACAATAGCAAATAGAACCCTGAAAGCAACCACGTTGACACCACTTTTCATAACTATTCGATACACCATCTGCATCCATTTCTTTCAATTGGAATTAAATTGATATTTTCTAGCGCTGCCAATAAAGCCAGCGGCACACGGTGCTTGTTTTCGTGCTGGATTGCTTGCTGGATGAAAATATTGCGTTCTGATTGGTACATTTCCGAAGATAGATGGAAGTGCACCAATTAGAATGCAGTATTTTCATCCAGCAAGCAATCCAGCACGAAATCAAGTACCGTGTGCCGCTGGCTTTAAAGGCCTATGGCCGGTTGCACATAGGACGCGGCACGCTAACCGCACGGCGGATGTTGGCTAGGGAATAGCGATAGCCAATCAATATTCTACGGCTGCGTTCCGATATTCACTGCCAGTACTGAAAATCTATAATATATGTGACATAAAGTATATATTTTCAATACTGGCAGTGAATATCGGAACGCAGCCTACATGCCGCATGTTCGTAAATACTATTTCCGGGCAAACAAGATGATGCTGAATGGCTACTGCGATATTCCCTAACCAACTTTCGCCGCACGCTAATGGAGGATTCACATTGCGTCTGATGTCCGACGTACGACGTCCGACACCCAATAGGAGAACAGCTTTCTAATGGAGAATTCAATTCTCCATTAGTAAGAACTGACCAATTATAGCCGATTATTTTTGTAATAATCGACTGTGATTCGCCAATTCTTACGGCTTACAGCTTACAACACCTAGGGCCAGTTGTTCCAACTTCTCGGTAAGTTAACCGATAGTTAAATCATATGTTTGTCTTTGTTTTTCCTTCAACTTGGACAAAGACAGACATATGATTTAACTGTCAGTTAACTTACCAAGAAGTTGGAACAACCGGCCCCTCGTTGTAGACCAGGCCTTAATGTAGAACGGGCTCTATGTGCAACCGGCCTATTTAGCCTTAGTCTACAATACGTGTCGTAAGTTGTAAGCCGTAAGAATTGGCGAATCACAGTCGATTATCACAAAAATAATCTGCTATAATTGGTCAGTTCTTACGGCTTACAGCTTACAATACGTATTGTAGACAGGCCTTAAGGCTCGTCTACATTAGCTGTAAGAGTAAGGCTGTAAGGTTGCAAGATACGAAATGAAATATTTTCATTCGCTGACAGCTTACGTTACAGCCTTACAGCCTTACTCTTACAGCTATTGTAGACGAGCCTTTATTCTTACAACTATTGTAGACGAGCCTTAAGGCTGTAAGGTTGCAAGACACGAAATGAAATATTTTCATTCGCTGACAGCTTACGTTGCAGCCTTACAGCCTAAAGCTAAGACTCCATGCATGCGGTGAGCTGCGGCAAATGCTGCGATGACCAATCAGAAGGGAGGCGCAAGTCCGGTTGCGGTAAGCTCCGGCATGCGTCTGTCTCCTGATTGGTCACCGCAGCCGTTTGCCGGAGCTCACCGCATGCATGGAGTCTTAGCTTTACTCTTACAGCTATTGTAGACGAGCCTTTAAGGTCATTCTACAATACGTGTCGTAAGTTGTAAGTCGTAAGAACTGACCAATTATAGCCGATTATTTTTCTAATAATCGACTGTGATTCGCCAATTCTTACGACTTACAACTTACGACACGTATTGTAGAATGACCTTAAGCCTGAAAATCTGAGTTTGTTACTGCGCATGCGCGAGTTTCCTTTCTACATCCTCTCACTAGCCTCTATCTAACAAGACTGCTTCCGCTTCGATGCTATCGTGAATCGCGCAGCAACGCATGGTGATGACCGAGCACGTAGTTCGTTTCCCGATGATGTCTCGCAGTGATTATTTCTGAGTTCGCATTGCCAGATTTCTGCAGAACATAATACTTCGCACGAGCGGTAAGTAATATTCTTCTAATAATGGTGGTGCACAGGCTTTGCCGCTGACGAAAGAAAGCGGACAAACGCTGAAAGGAAGGGTAGCCATTCGGCGATATATATCATGGCGCCGATGCGCTTCGCGATCCGACACGGACTTACACCCGAACGACCATCTTGTATATTGATAAATCGATATAGCGCGTGGCTTCTCGCCTGTTACGTTAATTTAAAGTAACGAATCGGCATCTTCGTTACAACCAGGTCAACGAAATTCACCAAGTACCAGGGTAAATCGATTTTGAGAATCGGTTTCACCGATACACGGTCGCTTCGTTTCCGATGGCACGATGTCGCGCAGAATGCTGCAATATTTGGTGAATCGACACAACGCCACCAGACATTGCATAAGCGCGATAATGAATGATTGAACGAAGCTGTGTAAATTCAGTGTCCGATGTACTGAATTAACTGGACATCCGTTATACTACAGACGGTGGAACAATGGACATGTGTCCTTGGGCGTTGAACGTTCTACATTCAAAAGTCTTTTTATTCATGAGAGAACTAGTAAAGATGTCTATATCGATGCAAATCAGTATCCGTGGATGCCCTTGTAACATTAGCAGGTGAACAAATAATTCGAACACACTGTATTTTCATAGTCTTACAGATTAGGTTGGTCTCTTTGGTGTACGAAAATGGAATCTATGGATGCGCGTCTTGTGGCGCAAGCATTGAACTACCATGGCCAGCAGTTGCAGAAAGTGTGGGAAGGAGAACGCAATGAAAATGAATTGGTCATGCTCAATCTGAAGGATCCAAGTTTTGAAATCTACCAACAACGGCAAAAAACTTTGAGGTACTTATCAGTTATTTATAGTATAACTTCATTGCACTATTTATTTTTACTGAGATATTTTTGCTTAAATAAAACTTCATATATTTTAGCTTTGGGGATAGAGGCAAACGTCTCAAGCTTCAACAATTCCTTGCTAAAAAAGCTGATGCCTTGTATGATAAGACAAATTTGGAAAAATCTACAGAATGCATTAAGCAACAGCTAGGAGATGAAGGTAATTATTTGTTTAGATATTTCCTTCTAGTTTATTCAATAATACTATAATGCTTTACAATATGTATATTTTCTAGAATTTTATGCTACTGTACCAGGACTGGATACTTTTGTAACTATGGAGAAGTCTCAGCGTATTCGCAACTTTTTAGAGGTATAAAAATTAAAAAATATCAATAAATTAAAGAAAAATACCTAGAGATTTTTATTGTTAAGATGAATAGTAGACTGTACATTCTTAAAAAAAAAAATCTCTGATTAATATTTTAACATTATTCCATTTGATTTATAGAGTTTAGTAGTTGGAGATGTAATTTACGCGCAAGTAATGGGTAAAAGTGCCGCTGGTCTGCTTCTGAAGGTGCTTTGCAACTGCAGTGATTGTCCCAGAGTTGTTACTGAATTAGGAGTTAAGGTATGTTGTAATATCACTAACAGATATTGTTTATATTTAATCAATCATCAATGTATTAATATTTGTATTGATATTAAAAATTTAAACTGATCTAAGTTTTGCTTAGATATAAAAAATGTCAATATATTTTTTGTAAAATTTTGTTTTCATATTGTTATTCAAGTGCTATATATTTTGGTTTAGCACTGCTAGATCATCATGATAAAGTGAATCATTTTTATATTTCTGATTTGTTTTTTCTTGGGGTAAAAATATGATTTAATTGCTTTAATATCTTTGGTTTATTCTTGATTTTATATCACGTCTGTATATGACTATACATATTCATAATTGCGTTCATATTGAAAAAAATGCTGTACACATACAATTAAAATAAATTCTTATATTTGTGGTAAGCAATGATGTTTAATTAAATAAAACTATGCTTATTTGTTCAACAACATTTCTCTATAAATATATACATGATTATATAATCATGTATAGACAAAATATATGTATTACTTATAATTATGTATTTGTAATATAATTTATAATCATGATGGAATTCTGTCAATCATAATTTTATATAATTATACAGGAATGTTATAAATAATGTTAATTATAAATAATATAGGATGGTCCATTTTAATCGACAGTCGGAAATATCTCGTCAGGTAAGTTATATCGCGAAAAATGTTTCGAACAAAAGTTGTAGGGTTCAGAGAGGGACATCTGATGGTGACCTTGGCTTGATCTTGGATTGTCCTTTGAAGGTCATATAAAGGTCAACTTTAAAATCCTAAATGGAACCCCCATTTTTTATTGCATATTGTTGCCCTTGTCGAAACGTTTTCAAAACACTACCTACTTTTGTCTTTTGCATAAGCTATTCCCAAGATATGGAGCTTCAAAGTTGACATACCGCCGGCATTCGCATTACCCGATGTGCACCACGAGGAAGTTGCCAAGATCCAAGGTCACCGACAGATATCCCCTTCTGAACCCTATAACTTTTGTTTGAAATATTTTTCGCAATCTGGCTTACCTGACAAAATATTTCCGATTGTCGATTAAAATGGACCACCTTATATATCACTTATTCTCAGATGTAAGAGAAAACAAAGATTCTTAGTACTTAGATAATATATTTATATTTTCCTTCCTTTTGAAAGAAAAATTGGGAACACAAAAATGACTCGTATCTTCACAATGAAAATATGCTAGCAAATGTTGAGATGTAGCACATGAAATAATATAAAAATAAACTGTTATCACGAAAAATATTATCACTAAAAAAATATTCTTATATATTCTATATTTCCGCAGTTTGTCAATTTAATTTTTTTTAACATCATATATTAATAGAAAGATTTATGTACTTGGGATATAATATTTTTAAGTATGTTAGTACATTTTGAATTTTAATTGTTAATTATAAAGAAATTATATATGTCGTTAGGCATTGATGTTAAATACGGCCATTATGCCGGCGGTAGACAAGAAAGGTGTCGCGAGGGGCTACATGGCAAATGATCTCGTCTGCGTCGTAGTCAGTGAAGTGAACGTTGAGGCGGAGCGAGTTGTTGCAGTTATGAACACAGAGCCCCGTGAGGGGCAAGCACCACACCCACCAATGGGACTTATCCATTCCGACGATCTTCCGGAGGCTTATAAGTAAGTTAATAAAGCTAATCATATATAATCTTAAGTTTATCGTATTATTGTTATATGCTTCATTAACTTTATAAGTTGATTTTCTATATTACTAGGAAATTCTATATACACACGATCAACTATGAAAATGTACACAATGTTACCTCTATTTATTGCGCATTATTCTAAGAGCACTTAAACTAAGACAAAAATATTCTCTTTGTTTATTTATTTAATTATTTAACTGATATACTGAGCTATGAAATCGATATACTCATATACACACGCGCACACACATATGTGCGCATTCTCTCTCTCTCTCTCACACATACACACACATACTTTTCCTTTCGATAGTATGTTGCTTAATAACATATTACTTTTACATGGAGTGATTTTCGAAAATGCTATCACAAATTTCACAAACATCTATACCTTTAAGGTAGAGACATATCTGATACAAATAAAATTTCTAAGATATTTAATATTTTTATAATAAAGATGGGGTTAAAAATAAAATTTCTAAAATAGATATAATTTAATATACAACGTTATTTTGTTTGTTTATAAAAAAACAAAAGATACACTATTAAATATAAATTTTTGCAAAATCGCAGCAATGACAAAGTATATTTATAAAATAACACTTGCAATTGATTGAGCAGATCTATGAAATAGTCTGAATATTTTTCTTTTGTTTCAATAATTAATAAATATAAAATTAACATATTATGCAAGTTTTTTAAATACCATTTCTCACAATACTATCAGTTCCATATTTATTTATTACTAGAATGAAACGAAAATATTCAGATTATTTACTTGATCAATTTGAAGTTTTATTTAGTAAATACTTTTTTTCGCACTATTTTGTTAAAACTTTTAAAGTGTATTTTCTCATTTTTGACAAATTAATCTTTATTAAGTTGAATGATTTTGTAACACAGACAGAGACGAAAAGCTCTCAATACAGAATAGTTAAAATGAATAATTCCAAAATACCTTCTTATAATTCAGTTTGTGTATTTAGTAAAATAATAACATTAATATGTATAAGCTATTTACTACTATTATTCAGTACATTTGATTTTTAATAAAAGAGGTTCAGAAGCTCTTCTATCTGAATGAAAATTAAGATGGTTGTAGCGAAAAATCAATAGCTTTAAAAAGAAATTATTACTAATAATCCTAAATAGGTGTGTGCATATATATATATATATATATATATAAATTTCTGAGAACGAATTGTTTTATAATTATTTCGAGACTGTTATTAATAATTTTTATATTAAATATCCTAGAAAAACTATACAGAGCTATGCTTATTCAAAATTTTCCCTTTGCTTAAAGGTGTAGGATACGTCTATGAAATTTGTATTGAAATTATCATGTACATGGAATAAAATTATAATACAACTGGTTAAAGAATTAATCCTTGTACAAAAAGAAATAAGTAAAAATTGCAAAATGAACTTTTCTATTCAAAGTTTTGTTTCTAAAAAAATAAAACTTAAGAGTTGTATGCAGTACGCATATACTTAATGAAAATATTGTTGAAATATACTGAAATGAACAATACTGCAAATGTTTATATAATGTCTAACAGTTTCCGTCCTAAATAAAATTATTTTCATCGAATATGGATGCCTAAATATTAGTTGATATCTTCTTTTAACGAAACTTTCAAAAGCTTTAATTTAGTCTCTTATGTTTTACTTTTTATTATTGTAATAACAGTTTAAGTAATAGATTCAGAAATGATAAACCACTTGGTCTTGGTCAAATAATGCATGCGTATCCAACAATTGTGAAACTTTATTGTTGTTGTTGTTATTATTATTATTATTATTATTATTATAAAACTTAGAGCGGGAAGTGTACGTAACAGTTTCGAATTAGCCTTGTATAAAAAATTGTTTCTTGTTCAGTTGTATTACAATTTTTTCTTCAACTTGTATACAGTATGAGCTATTTTGTGCCAATTATTTACATAGCACTATTTTTTAGCACTATTCTGTATGAAAATTTAACATTTTTTATTTTCTTTTTTTTTTCTTTTTATCCATAAAAATATTAAGGAAGGTTCTTATTTATATCAACTACACAATTTTTAACATAATATCTATGTAGCTAAATCCTAAATTAAAATTTCGTTAAGTCCACTTGAAATTAATCGAAGAAAATAGTTTTGTTGTCAATTAGTCGAACCAAGCCAAGCCAAACCGACGAAAAGTTCTGCTTGTTAAGTTTTTTCAGCTGTTTTCGAAAAAAAAGAGAAAACGAAAATTAGCTGATAATAAAAAAATATTAAAAAAAAGTTGATTTCGAAAATTCGGAAGTCATGATATTACTATCATCATATATATTTCTCGGAACTGAATTTTAGTTTAAAACATTTTTTAGCACTTTGTGGTCCGTAGTCTGAGCGAAGCCGTTTCGTTCATTTCTTTCGAAGTATCAATAGCATGTTGCGTACTTGATCATGCATATTTTGCTATTTTTCTGATTATGTAAACGTTAATATCTAAAAAAAATTTAAAGCTAAAAAAGTCGAACAATTTTTATCATAGAATTCATGTTTTTCTCTATTAGCAATCATCAGAAACTTTTAACTTCTGTATGTATGTTTTATTTTCTCAAACAGTCAAAGATATAATATTTTGAACTAGAAAAAATCAAATATGCATATACAGGGTGTCTTAAATATACCGGAACCAGATAACTTTACAGATCAAGATTTCATGAAAAACTTTAAATATAAAAGTTGTAGAAAATTGAATAACGGACTTGATGGTGACTTCGAATTTGACCTTGGCCATGACCTTCAAAGTTATTTGGAGGTCAACTTGCGTTTTTCAAATGGGAACCCTTATTTTTTATTACACTTTTTTTCAATTAATTTGAACAACTTTTGTCTAAAACATTTTTTTATGTGCCTAATATTTTTTGAGATATTTGAGGAAAACTTGATAACTTTTTCAATATTTAACTTACGATATCTCGCTAACTATTTGTCGGAAAAAAAATGGTACTAAACTTTCTTGCTTTATTTAGTCTCAAGAATATATTGTTACAATAGTGCCCTGATTTTTGTTAATTTGATGATTTTGAAATTTCCAAAAGTCAGTTAACAAAACTCAAGGCGCTATTATAACAATATATTCTTGAGATTAAATAGAGCAGAAAAGTCTAGTACCGCTATTTCTTCCGACAAATAGTTAGTGAAATATCGTAAGTTAAATATTGAAAAAGTTATCAAGATTTCCCCAAATATCTCAAAAAATATTAGGCAAATAAAAAATTTTAGACAAAAGTTATTCAAATTAATTGGTAGAAAAAATCAATGTAATAAATAATAAGAGTTCCTATTTAAAAAACGCAAGTTGACCTCCAAATGACCTTGAAGGTCATGGTCAAGGTCAAATTCAAGGTCACCATCAAATCCGTTACTCGATTTTCTACAACTTTTGTATTTAAAGTTTTTCATGAAAACTTGATCCTACAAAGTTATCCGAGGGTTATCCAGTATTTTTAAGACACCCTGTATACAGGGTGTCTCATTTTAAAAAACGCACCTCGATAATTTTTTAACGAAGCATTTTCACCAAAAATGTTTCGGACAAAAGTTGTATGATTTCAAGAGGGTATAAAACAACTATACTATTTTGTTTACAAATGGCACCACTTTTGAAATATTCACTGATCATTACATTTCTGAAATGAAAACCCCAAGTTTTTATTATACCGTCGTGTTCTATCAGTTAATTTAAACAACTTTTGTCTGAAATACTTTTTATTTGCTTAATATTTTTTGAGATATTTAAGGAAAACTTGATAACTTTTTTAATATTTAACTCACAATATCTCGCTAACCATTTGTCAGAAGAAAAAATGGTAGTAGACTTTTGCTCTACTGGTCTCAAGAATATTGTTATAATAGCGTCTTGACTTTTGTTAATTTGATAATTCTGAAATTTCCAAGTCAGTAAGTTAACAAAAGTTAGGGAACTATTGTAACACTATATTTTTGAGACCAGGTAGAGCAAAAAAGTTTAGTACCACTTTTTCTGCCGACAAATGGTTAGCGAGATATCGTGAGTTAAATATTGAAAAAGTTACCAAGTTTTCCTTAAATATCTCAAAAAACATTAAGCAATTAAAAAAAATGTTTCAGACAAAAGTTGTTTAAATTAATTGCTAGAAAAATGCGGTGTAATAAAAATTGGGTGTAACAAAATAGTATAATTGTTTTATGTCCTCCTGGCAATCATACTTTTGTCCGAAACATTTTTGCTAAAAATACTTCATTAAAGAATTATCGAAGTGCGTTTTTTAAAATGTATTAAATATACCCTGTGTGTATACAGGGTGTCCCATAATTGTAACACACCAACTCCATAGTGGCGTAAAGCTAAGCGAGAGGAACGAAAAGTCCTGTTCCATTTAGCGATATCGTATAGTTTTTTAGTAATAACCGCGTAAAATTTGGCGTTTATCACGCCTATCGCCGCCTATAGACGCTCCTCGGTGAGCTGTGTGCGTCAAAGCTGAGCGATAACGCGTCTCGCGCTGACTGTCGCGGTGACGTCTTAGCGCTTTGACGTCGCGTTACCGCTCAGCGGCGCAGCTCGCCGCGGAGCGTCTATAGGCCGCGATGGGTGTGAGAAATGCCAAACTTTATGCGGTTATTACTAAAAAACTATGCGAGATATCGCAAATGGAAAAGGACTTTTTCGTTCCTCTCGTTTAGCTCTATGCCCCTATGGAGTTGGTGTGTTACAATTATGGGACACCCTGTATAATATGAACATGATTTATTTTTTAAATGTACAAATATTGAGGTTAGTTATACAGGGTATCCGGTAATTAGCTGTCAACTCGAAGTGTGAGAGTAGATTGGGTTAAGATAAACATAAAAGTTCCATATTGTTTTGCGAGATTCGCAATAATTATCGAGTTATTAATTATAGAAATCTGACAATGAGCGCGCGATGATATGGATGATTGGAGAAACGTCGTAG